AGCAGGAGGTAAATCTTGTTGTTTTTACCTCATTCTGGACTCCTGTTTAAAGTATCATCCTAACATTTCATCCATTTCCCACTTTTGCTTTTCAGCCCCATTCCTTTCAGAATGGAACTGCATGAAAGGCTTTATTCTGTGATCTCACAAATTTTGACAGCAGGTAATGGCTCTGGGAAATGGATATGGCACCTTTTGGTTTGTGAGGGGCATGGTGTCCCATCTCCAAATGCCGCAAGTTGTGTAGCCCCACTTTGTGAGAAACATCCTCCTGTGGAAAAAAATGATAGTACAGAACATTTTTTAAAGCTGAGAACTAGAAAATACATCATTAAAAAGAGTACTGCTCAATAAATCGAGAAGCAGTAGGAAAAGAAGGCCACCTTACAAATGAATGGACTCAATCAGGAAAGCCATGGCCCTGAGACTCCAGGACCTGAACAATCTGTTGATGGCTGGGTGCCTTGGCAATCTCTTTCTCATAAGGTCACAATAAGTTAAAACCATCTTGAATGGAAATAACAAAAAATGAGGTGAACAAAGGTCTATGAGATCTATATTATGGTGGCCTTTGTCAGAAGTGTGAATGTTGGTTTTTCTGGCTGTCTTCCAGGTCATATTGGCAGCTGTTTGTGAATGCAGAGCCTGGGCTACCGTTAACCAGAATTGATTATAGAATCCTAGTTGTAAAGGATGACAAGGGCAATCTATCCCATCCACTCTGCCTGCTTCAAGAAGCAAGTACAAGGGATGGAGCTGACTCCATGGCTTTTTTTACCAGAGCTCCCAAGAGGCCCTTATTGAAAGAGCTGTGTATGTTGCATAATCTGTCCTGGGGCCACTGAATTAACATTTGGCTTTAAGTGCAGTGGAAAATACTGTCCTGTCATCTATGCTGAGGCCATTCAGCTGCCAATCCTGTTAGCTTCAGTATGTGGGGTAGGGAGGCAGGTATCCTCACCTCCTCTGCCTCAGCCAGCAGTGTCATGGATTGGTCTCACTTGATATAGCCTAAGCAGTGTAACAAGATTTCTTAACATAACCAGTGTAAGACTTTCTTAACATGCTTCTTAACATAGTTTATCTGCATTACATAGTCTAGGGTTGTGTTTCCTATTCTGTCTCTTCCTTTAATTTCAGTAGCTTTACTTGTATCACTCCCTAGAAATTAGTAATCCAGACTCTTGAGGATGGTACTTCTGCATCTATGTACACCTTCTTCTGGTCTGTGCTATGTCACTGGAAAGTGCCAAGGGAAACCTGGAGCTGCCCAGTTCAATGAAGTGGAATGTTTTTCCTGTACCTATGGATGTAGAATTAAGGCCAGAATCAAATTACATATAGCTCAAACTCCTGTTCTTTTTTTTTTCTTTTTGGTCGTGTCAGGAGCGACTTGAGAAACTGCAAGTCGCTTCTGGTGTGAGAGAATTGGCCGTCTGCAAGGACGTTGCCCAGGGAACGCCCGAATGATTTGATATTTTTGTCATCCTTTTGGGAGGCTTCTCACATGACCCTGCATGAGGAGCTGGAGCTGATAGAGGGAGCTCATCTGCCTCTCCCCGAATTCGAACCTGCGACCTGTCAGTCTTCAGTCCTGCTGGCACAGGGGTTTAACCCACTGCCCACTGTGCCACCGGGGGCAGAACTCCTGTTCTGATGTCTCTCAACAAATTATTGTGGTGCGTCCCTGAGCTGGAACGTAGTGAGTATTCTAGACTTGATACACATGTTTCATAATTTGTGTTTGAGCTTATGCTGTTCAACTCACAATTAAGGAGATATGAAGGGCTTCCCAATTGGAATGGTAGACATGTAGTTTTCAACTGTGTTGGCACTGACTGCAGTTTGATGTTGGATCTGAATTCTGTCTCTGAGTTTTTCTTAAACCTTTAAAAGGCTGTTGCACTATCATAGTGGTTCTCAGTCTGTGGGTTCCCAGTTGTTTTGACCTTCAACTCCCAAAAAAATCCTAACAGATATTAAACTGGCTGGGATTTCTTGGAGTTGTAGGCCAAAACACCTAGGGACCCACAAGTTGAGAACCACTGCATTATGAAGATGGAAATGCATTTATAGTTATGTGAAACAAAGGGCATCATAAATAGCAGATCAACTGTTCTAAAGTTATGAAGAAGATAAAGTGTTTAAGCAGTTGTGAACCATATTTGATTTGTTGTGTATTTGAAACTCAAATCATAGCATAGCGGGTTCTCAGCAATAAAGAGCATAATTGTGGTTGGTCAGCTGTGTTATTATCAGTGGAGCTTCAGAGGTAACAGAGAGTTTGCGACTTGAAATCTGCCACAGTTGGATCACCATCTTCTTGCTACCAATAAGAATGCATTACTTGATCAAGGACAAATAACCTTTTGTTTCCTTTTGCCAATTGTCCTGAGTTTTTCAAGGAGGGAGGGGAAATGAGGAATGTAGTAGCACCTTTATGGCTAACTGGTTTTTATTTTACCATGAACTTTTGTAGATGCAAACCCAGTTCTTCAGATGTAGTACAGAGTGTATTGAGGTTTTAACTCTTCCTGTGCTAGTATTGACAGGTCACAGGGCTCTTAGACAGACTAACCTAAATAACTCTAGTTGCAGAGTGGGTGAGGCTACGTAAGAGCTGTCTTGTAAACCCCAACTGACCCACTCTCCAAAGCTAATCCACCCAAGAGTCTTTCTAGCCTCCTTTTCCTGCGGGCATACCCATCTTCATGTAAACTCTAGCACTCTGGTGATTTCCTCTTGCACTTGAAAAGAATGAAATCATTGGCCAGCCTGAATAAGCTGGGATAATTGAAGAAGGCGCTTGAGTAAATTGGCTTTTGGATGATTGGGAAGAGCTTATGTTCAGGAATGAGTGTAGACTTGTGGGAAAGGAAAATAGATTCAGGGATTCTTCTACTGGGCATTTTAGGGGTTTATATTGAGGGACACTTAAAGACAAATCCACCCTGCCACCATCGCTGTCATGGTTTTGTGCCCTGTTTGTGTGTTTTATGTGTTATTTAGAGGGCTTTTCCTTCACTTTAGGGAAACAAAATTTGTCTGTAGCAACACTTTTCTATTTAGGATTCATTCACATTTAATGACCACCCCATTACCATTCTATAGCTTGGTGATGATAAGAATATTCACTACATTCACCTTACAGTAGTTTCAGAAAGGATTCCCGCTCTACTCTGAGTTATAAATTACTTTCTCAGTTTTATGATCATGAAATGAATGTTTGAAACATGGCTGTATATTGAACTTTCATACCGGGACCAAAGAAAAAGGGTTTGCCTCTTGCCTTTTCAAGTATAGATTGGATACAGGATGCATGAGCCATTGATTGAAGGGTTCCTTTTACTGATGAAAGGAATTGAGATTCAGCGAAGGAAGCAAGAAGTGGCCTATGCTGCATCTCCTTCTCTGCAGCACAATTATCACACCCTTATGCTATTCTAGAAGGGCACCCCAACTCTTGAAAGCAAGATGGAGGGGGGAGCTTCAGTGAGAAGAAGGAACCACGGAAGCTCATCTCCACACCTCACCTCCATATATATATGTCACTGAGCAAATTCATACCTCCTGTTCCATATGCAGGATTGTTCATGGATGGGGAGCAGTGGGCTACAAAAAGTACTAAAAAACACAACCCAACCCACCCCACTCCCCTTTTTTGTGTCAGAAGTGACTTGAGAAACTGCAAGTCTTTTCTAGCTTGAGAGAATTGGCCATATGCATGGACGTTGCCCAGGGGAAGCCCAGATGTTTGATTTTTTATCATCCTTGTGGGGGGCTTCTCTCATGTCCCCACATGGGGAGCTGGAGCAGACAGAGGGAGCTCATCTGTGCTCTCCCCAGCTTCAAACCTCTAACCTGTCGGTCTTTAGTCCTGCCAGCACAAGGGTTTAACGCTTTGCATGATCCAACCCCTAGAAGTACTGCTTCTCTTACCTCAACGGTTTCAGTAGACATTGTCCACATTCAAGCATGTATTTGTTATAAAACTTGGTTTTTTTCTTTTTATTCATTTTTTTAAAGGACTGAATATATCGGCACCTTCATGCAGAATTGTCAGATGTGTGTTGTTCAAAAGTCTCATCTGATAAGATGAGGCAATACTTACATCCCATCATAGCAGGAATTGTGTCTTCAAAATGAAGACCTTATGTCAGATGGTTTGGTCTTACATCCTGTTGTAGAAACAGTGTGCCTGCTAGCTGTAATCCTATATTCAACACATTTGCCTGTCATATTTGTTGGGTTTGGTTTTATTATTGGAAGTAAACTCAAAAGGTCCATTCAAGCAGTCAAGTCTTGACACCAGCAATTTAGGCAACAGTGAACATTGAACAAAAGAAGAGATGGAACCTCCAACCCAGCTGTCTCATCCATGTCTAAGTTTCTCAGTCTTTGATGTAGAACAGGTTTCTCTGACCATAGAGAAGCTTTAGTCTTACTCAATGGTGTTCTGTATGCAACTTAACCTTGAGTGTAAAACCAGTCAGTGAAGTAGACATTGTCAACAAGTCCTGTGGCTTCACAAAGATAGCATGTGTCATTGCATGAACTTTCAGAAACAGCAGGCCACTTCTGAAGACTAGTTACAAACATGCCTGTTATAATAAATATGTGTGAGTCTTGAAGGAGCCATTTCTGCTTGTTTTTGGTATATCAGAGTAGAATGACTTGTCATCTGCCTTCAAATAATTTCCTACTTATAGAGACCCTTACATGGGATTATGTTTGCCTTCCTCCGAAGACAGAGAGTGTGTGTTCAAGGTCACCTAGTGGGTCTTCATGGATGAATGGGGATTTGAACCTTGGTCTCCAGAACCCTGGTCCAGCTTTCAAACCAGTGCACCACACTGGCTCTCATGTAGAATGGATACTCCTTTGGAAGTGTTATGGTGCATTTCCTTGAGATGAGCTTAATATTCATTCACCTGATTAATTTGGAGGACTTGCTCTCTGAGATATACAGTTCTAATGGTAGTTTTTTTTTCTTTTCCCAGGCTAACTGAATTATCCTGTTCAAGATGGCCGACAGTGACAAGAATGGAAGCAGCCGCTCTAGCACTAGCAGCAGTCGTCTCCAGAGCAAGAAGCCTCCCAATCTCTCCATCACGATTCCTCCTGTGGAGGTGGAGGATGAAAATAGCCAAACAGTGGTATGGATGAATACTTTCTCCACAAGTACCAGCGTTTCTATTTCTCTGGTTACTTGTTATGTGGTAGAATGTCTGTAGGTGGCTCTTAAGTATCATATGTCTTAAGTCTGTGCTTTCCTCTGTGCTCTGCTTGTGATCTCTCAACACAGAGGATTTTCACATTACACAATTGCATCAGATGTAACATACGCAAACATACACTGTTAGAAATACGCTGCTCTCCAAGTCTGTCTAGCCATGGACTGGAGAAAATTCTTCTGGTCTTTTCTCCCAGGAACACAGTTCCTTCTTGAGGAAGGATGTTTGGTAACAGGAGAAGACATTAGGATAACTGAGGTCATGATGTTGGGGATCATGTCTTTTTTCTATCTTGTAGCTTTTGAAGAAGAATCCACCTTTACAAAAAAGTGTAAGCCTTCAAGAGTCTAGGATGAAAAGACAAGATAGTCATTTTGAAAAACATCCTGGGTTGCACCGGCAAACGTCACTGTCCCAAAGTATTCGCAAGTAAGTAGACCTTCAGGATTGTGTGTACATGCCTTAATCCTTAGAAGATGCTTAAAGGACTTGCCATTGTGTGTTTCTGAAGCTTGGGACTAAGATGAATAAGAATTTATACACTCATGTGGTTTAAAAATAGCCCTTCTTCATAACAGATAGACCTCAGTGTTTTTCATAATTATCTTGGCAACAGAATTTGCCTTTGCTTTTCAACTCAGAAGAGATGGTGATGCTTCACAAGAAAAATTAAGAGCATCCGTTATTTGTTATTGTGGTGTGTGAATCTGTTTGTAGGTCAGGCAGAACTTTAAAGGATCACCATAGGGATTCTGGATCAATTTTTGGGACAGGGCTTTGAATAGCTTCTTAAAAGTGTGGACTAAAGCACTGAGTAGATTCACTGGCCCATAGACCCCACAAGTCACTAGCCTCTACTGAGTGGAAACAGATCAACTGGAAGTGCATGTTATGTTTGTGATAACTGTTTCCCTCCACCATATGTATGAATTATGAGTGTCTTCACAGTGAGACCAGGCATAGTTTCTATTACATGAAGATGGTGAAAAAGCCACATTGCTGAGGCAACATGTTCACATGGAAGTTTTTGTGGGGGAGTAGAGTGTTACCTCTGCACCAAGTTTGTTTGGCTTTCTTTCATATTATTCTGTTTGCATTATGTCTGTTATAACACTCCTAGAATAAGTAAGAACCATACTAAAACAGCCACAAAAAGGGAATATAATAAATAAGAGCAATGTGCAGTGAAACTCTCTGTTCTCCTTCCGCTGTCAGGGAAAGACCTTTTTATGTAGACTGGCAATTGGCTATTCACTGAGAGCTGCAGTTAATGAGGATGCTGTAATTTTATTCTATTTTTTAATGTTTTGAAATTGTTTTAAACTAATGTTTTAATAGAACACCTTTAATTGTGTTTTTAAAAACTTTTTGATATAATTGCTTTTTAATTATATTTTGATATAGTTTGTTTGTGAGCCACTGTAGATTTGATCTAGAGAGAAAAGTCAATATTAAATAAATAGGAGCGGGAGTGAGTGTATTTCCACGTATGAGGCAGCTCATATGTGGAAATATACTCACAAGTATTGCTCCATCATTCTGGGAGGCAAAGCTGGGGACGTTTTGTGGCAAAAAGGTCTTGATAGAGCAGATGTAGCCCTGAGAGCAGCTACATCTGGTCTATCTGGCTAAGAATCCCATGTGGAGCTTGTTTATCTTCTCTTTCCTTACACCTAGAGGGGCGGCCCAGTGGTTTGGAGTTAGCAGCGACTGGGATGGAAAACGGCAGCTCTGGCAGCGCAAGAGCTTGCAGCACTGCAGCCTACGGTACGGGAAACTCAAAGCAGCCTATCGGGAAATGGAGCTGCCCAGCCAAGAAGTCCCTTCCTTTCAAGGCACAGAGTCCCCAAAGCCCCAGAAGATGCCCAAGGTAGGCCCACTGTGCCATCATATTACTTCTGGTTACTCTCTGAGCTTATTTGGAGGCAATTTTTCAGCTGCTTGAAAAGTCATAGTGTCAGGAAGGAGACAGAGCAGCAGGTGATTTTAATATGTTTTGGATCATTTTCAGACAAAAAATGGTGATGGTAAAGTTGATTAGCCTATCCTAACCTACCATAGAAGGCTGCTGTATGGTTAAAATTCCCTGCTTAAATTAAATGAAGGAAATATAGGTTAGAAATGAAACTCATTATAGCCTTTGTAATCTTTGTGACTCAGTAACTTTGGTCTTTCAGATCGTGGACCCTTTGGCCCGAGGCCGGCCCTTCCGGCATCCAGACGAAGTGGATCGGCCCCGCACTCCACATCCTGTTCTGCCCCCTCTAACTCCTGGAGACATCTCTTTGACATCCTTGGGCAGTGTTCGGTCCGGCTACACCCGCCTTCCACGCAGGAAGCGGGAATCAGTGGCCCATATGAGCTTCAAGGCAGCTGCAGCCATTATCAGAGTGAGTTTTTCTTTTCTTTTGTATTAAGCTCTCCTCTTCAGCTCCAACATTTTCACTTTGTTTTTCAGGTTCATAAGGTGCTGTTCCATGCCACTTCTTTTGTTTGTAAACAGGGAAGACATTTGCCCTGTTTACATTTGCCCTGTTTTGTTGTGTATGTTTTTTTAAAAAAATGGAAATATAATAAGTAGGAAGAAACATCTAATGAGCTGCCAACCAAAAAGGCAAGAGTAGAGCCACCAGGTGGCTCTGTTGTCTGGCATAAAAGAAGCATGGCTGGGAAACCCAGAACAGTTAGCTTGGGAAGCAGTCAAGACCACCCACCTGATATTCAGAATCAATATCTGTTTAACTGGCCATTCTCCCACCCTGCTCCTATTTTACCAGTGGGGAGTGATGTCAAGCCTGAGCCCATTTTCAATTGTCCCCCCCAGATTTGTTTTTGCAGAAGGGATTGAAGTTATGTGGGTTGTGGGGCAAAATCGTTTTGGCAATTTGTCCTTATATCCTCTCAAACTGTACTCCTCCAGGTGTTTTGGACTTCGGATCTCACAATTCCTAACTGTTGATAAGCTGCCTGTGATTTCTGGGGGCTGAAGTCCAAAACACCTGGAGGAGCAGAGTCTGAGAAACATTGCCCTAGAGCAGGCCTGCACAACCTGTGGTCATCCAGGTGTTTTGAACTCTGATTCCCAGAAGCCCTAGCTAGCTTGTTCAGTGGTCAGGAATTCTGGGAGCCGAAGTCCAAAACACTTGGAGGGCCACATGTTGTGCCCTAGAGGGACTGAAGGTAAAAGCTTTTCTTGCAGGAGAACAGTTAGAAACCTCAAAGTTCATGAAAGGCTGATGTGCTCCCCGGCCTCCCAGAGTTGTCAATCTCTACAAAACAGCAAGGATAGGGAATTTTATTTTTCCAGAGTCTTCTATTTCAATTTCCCATAATACCTTATTGGTGGCAGCTTAACCTTCTAGGAGCAAAAATGCACCATAATTGGAGATCAAGGTTACTGTTGTAGAAGACTGCAGAATATCTAAACTTAATGTAGTTATTTGATTTTCACTGTTCACTCTTCTGAATTATTTTTTTTTACCAAAGGGACGCTCAGTTCTGGAGCCATCAGCACCAAAACGGAGGTTCAACAAACGAAGCTTTGTTTATCCCAGCTTCATGGATGACGATGTGGTGGATGGCATAGAAACATTTGATTCCTCCTTCTTCAGTAAGGCAAGCATGATTTCATGACCTTCTTACACCATTTCCTTGATATGTGCCCATAGCTTTGTTCCTCCCACTGTTGTCATGCCACCAACAGGACAAATAACTCAATTACTTGCCCAAAAATAAAGTGGATGGGGAGTATACACTTTATTTACAAAAATATTTGTATTCTAGAAAACCCCACAGAAGTGCTAATGACATTGTAAACAAGGAGCGCTCTCCCCAGATACTTCTTATCTCACAGGGAAATTGTAGCTTTTCTCTCATGGCTGTATGGTCAAGTTAGAAAAGGAAATTCACGTGTGTCTTGCTTACAAGCTGATTAGGCTTTTCTGGGAGCACTAATCACCTTGTAAACAGTGTTTTGAGGCACTGCAAGTTGTTTTTGCTGCCACTGCCAAATATGAGCAGCAACAGGGCAGGGGGTGTCAGATTCAATCTCCAGCATCTTCAGTTGAAATAGATCAGGTAGCAGAAGGTATGGGGAAAAGGCAGCTTGGGGTTGCCTTTGTTTTTCTTTTTTAATGCCATTGCTGAAATTAAATGGTGATGGATAGAAATAACAAAATCTATAGTATGGCACGCGCACACAAAAAGATACAATTAGGCTTGGTAAACCTATTGTCTTAGCAAGCCTAACTACCAAAAGGCTATTATGGCAACCAGCTCATCCCAGTTCCTAATGATGGCTTGGGGCGTTTCATTGGCCTATGACTTTTTAAAAGCTTTATTTTCAACATTTTTGTAAGTACCTGCAATGAAACAGGGAAAGAGAACATAACAATATAATATTTCCTACCTCCACAAACTATTGTGGGGACAAAATAATCTACACATTCTTACATTCATCACTATATTCAGCAATTCAATATATGTCATTTTGCACAGAAATAATAATATCTGTTGCTCTATTCTACTATTCTAATATCTACTGGCCTATGGCTTTTAAAACTTCACAAACAGGAAATGGAGGTGTTGCTCTATAGGAGCTCAGATTGTATAAAGTGACTGACCGCAGAATGTAGTTTTGGATTAGTCTGGCCCTGGTCCTAGTGTTTGTTCCTGGATATTATCGCTTTACAGCTTGAAATTGGTATTGGGGTATTTAGTATTGGTATTCCTTGCTCCCAAAACATCACACATTTCCCATATCTCTTTTATTTCTGTACCTTCCTTCTCTTTTGTTTAGCATAGAATTATTACCCCTTTACTGCCATTGGCCCAAATATCCCAGATTAAACTCCTTGTTTGATTATATCTGTGATGTTTATTGCATCCAAAGACTAAAATTACATTTTTTTTAAAGGCTAAAAGAACCACAAAGCTATTTTTGCTGTAGTGCTGATTGTTTCCCTCTCACAATTATATCAGTATCTTGTCTGTTAAGTTATACAGTTTTCTGTTCCACACATTATATGCAAAGTAAAGGTAAAGGTTTCCCCTTGACATTAAGTCTAATTGTGTTTGATTCGGGGGGGGGGGGGGTGCTCATCTCCATTTCTAAGACAAAGAGCTAGAGTTGTCCATAGATGTCTCCAAGGTCATGTGGCCAGCATGACTGCATGGAGCGCCATTACCTTCCCGCTGGAGCATTACCTATTGGTCTCCTCACATTTGCATATTTTCCATCTGCTAGGTTGACAGAAGCTGGAGCTAACAGTGGGAACTCATCCCACTCCCGGGTTTGAACTACCAACCTTTTGGTCAGCAAGTTCTACAGCTCTTCAGTTTAACCCACTGCACCACTGGGGACTCCCACAGTGCATGCTATTAAATAGTAATTTTAGTCCATAAATTTCTTTTTGCTGTATAATCTGCCAAGCACAGTCATAGAGCATGTCTACTGTATGTATAGCTATAAAATAATGGTGGCCATCTTATGGCTAGATAAAGCAGTCACATTAGCCATTTAGCAAAACTGTAACTATTTTATGTAAGCAAGATCACCTTAAACAGTATCTCTTTTCCGTCTTCTTCCTAGGTTGATGCACATGATGAGATGTGCTCCATGCCAGATGATGTATTTGAATCTCCTCCCCTTTCTGCCACTTGTTTTCGAGGACTTCCTCAGCTAGAGGATGGCAAGTCTCCTGAAGCTGAGCATCCTCTTCAGTGAGTCTTGGACTCTAGTTTAATGCAGTACCGAGATCTTCACAGATGTTTTTCTCGAAGCTTGCTTAGTCTTTCGCCATGTCTGTGCTGTTTCCACCAACATTACAGGGAAACAAAGCTGAGAGTGACCCCTCCTTTCCCTCACTCACTTGCCACTTGGCCTCTGGCATTTATGGGGGGCTGCAAAAGAAAGCAGCTTCCATAGATTTTAATCCCCAGCCAGCCAGATTTAAGATTGCTTTTACCTGACACCTACTTTATCATTTCAGTAATGTACAAATAATGTTACTTTTTTAAAAAAATCATAGGATTTTAACATTTATTTCAGATTTTTTCTTTCCATGCTATTTCTGCTTTTAGGCTATTTTTAGATACCCATATTCCCTTTATTGGTATTTTTGCTTCCAGGCTCTTTTAGATGCCTTTATTGCAGTTTTTAAAACCTTTGTATCTTCTGTCATTCCAAGAAGCGCTTTAAGGGTGGGGTAACAATCCCTATTACAAATATGAATAGCAGTTTTCCTGCAAGACTATGAAGTTGGTGCAGACTCTGTCAGCTAGAAAGCAAAGGCTGCATAAGTGCTACATGTTCTATGTATACTGTTGGGTGAGTATGGATTAACTGTGCTCTGAAGAAATACTTTCCAAGCACAGAGAAAAAGGTTGGAACAGTACCTAAAAGAAACAGGGAATGGAAGCTCTGAAGAAATCACAACTTGTCAAGAGTTGTGGAGTCTTTATGTGTTGTGGAAAGAAAGTAGCAAGAAGAATGAGTTGTGCAAAGTCTGCATGCTGGATATTTGAGAGACAACAGCATTCAAATAGATACTTCTGTCTGTCTTGTGTACAGACAGAAAGTAACAAATGAGGAGGCCCGAAGTCCTGAAGCAGGGAGAAAAACTGCCGAGGGGAAGCAAACGGAAATTCTACCTTTTGTTGCCTGAAGCCATGGCAATTGAATTAAAATGCAAACTAATTGTGAGGGAAGCTAATATTTGTTTTTATGAGGTTGTAGAAGTAGAAGTCCTTGACTCATTTGTCTCCAGGAGCAATTCCCTATATTACAGTGATCATCCAGGTGGAATTCTAGTTTTGTGGGCATGGATCCAGGTAACTTTTCTTCTTTGTGTCAAAGAATATTTTCTTCTTTTTGCAGGCGTGCAGGAGGAGCTGCTGCTGCTGCTTCTGCTAAAGGGCAGCCATCATCAGCTACTGTTTCCAAGAGAGGCACTCGGATCGCCTCTCAAGTGAAGCACTTTGCCTTTGACCGCAAGAAGCGATATTATGGGCTGGGAGTGGTGGGCAAGTGGCTGAACAGGACGTATCGCCGAAGCATCAGTAGCGTGGTGCGCTCCCAGCTGGAGCTCACGGATAACCACCGGTAGGAGACACAGCACTTGTTAGCATGGGCAGTCGGGCAGGCTGCCTTTAGCTTTCTTGGGCAGTTATGTAGGAAGCCTCTTGGATCTTGATTGCTGGACATCCTTTCAAGTGTATGCATTAGATACACAGTGGATCAGCAGTAATTTTTGCATGCGTTGGACATAGTTTGTTTTCCATCAGTGCCTACCTAACCGAGTCCTGATCATGAACATAATCTTTTCTGGCATAATTTTGGAGCATAACCATTTTTTCTGTGTTCTTTCTCCTTTATTAGACCCTACTTCACCTACTGGATCACCTTTGTCCACATTATTATCACTCTTCTCATCATTTGCACTTATGGGATTGCTCCAATTGGCTTTGCCCAACACCTGACAACAGCATTAGTGAGTCTAATGATGTCTTGGTTCTCCTGGTATCATATATATTCTCTTGAGACAATCATCTGTGGGTGTCATAGTAGCTGGCAGCAATTTGAAAATACCAAACCATATGATACAGTGAAATGCATATATAAACAAATCTATTGTAACAGCATTGGGAGAAAAAGTGAACTTTCCTGAAATACTCACTTAAACAATATTTGTCTTAAAGTACCCTATAAAATCCAAATTGGATAGGTTTCCCAAATTTCTCTTAAGGTGAGTGTCAATAATGACAATGCATCATTGAGACTGCACTGTTTTACTAGGTGAACATCAGACTTTGTGTGGTTCTGGGAGCAGGATGCCTTTTAATGGCCTAAGCACAATGGGGGTGTTTTCTATGATATGATGGAGTTAAGCTGGTTTGGATTTGAAAGTTTAGAATAAAGAGGAAATTGACTTGTACCTGAAAATGAATCAGGTCCCAAACAAAGGTTATTTGAAGTAATTGGCTAGATAAATCAGATTATGGTTACATTCATTCTCTGATCTTGCATTAACTCTTTGTAGTGGGATGGCAGCAAGACAAGGAGGGACCTGATCTGAATTTTCTACTAAACACATTTGTCATTGACATGGCCATTTTTCCATTACCTGGCAGGTTCTGCGAAACAAAGGTGTATATGAGAGTGTGAAATATATCCAGCAGGAGAACTTTTGGATTGGCCCAAGCTCGGTAAAGGCTGCATTTTCTTCTCAGCTGCATTGTTCCTTTGGAGGCAGAGCTTCTTAACCTGACAGAAAAATTAATATGTGCAGTGCTCCAAAAGTTACTTTTTGTGTCAGCAGGTTGTGAAGTCTGACCCTTGACCTTCTGTGCTTTGTAAAAACCTACCGAGTGTGACTGCTGAAATAAAATCTGACCTTTAACCATCCATTTTCTCAGACAAATGTTATTGTCTGGAACAAAATGTTTAAAGTATGGAGGAATCCAAAATAACTCTCAGTGTAGAAGACCATTGTGCAGTGGGGGACGGGGGGGGGGGGGGGATTCAGTACAGCTCCTGATGCATTCATCAACAAAATGAGAAAATGTCCCCATAAGTGTGTATTTAAGCTGCAACTGCTGCATCAAGACATTTAAGCTGGAATTGCTACACCAAGATATCCCATTGTTCTTAGCCAAGAAACATTGTAGAAAGAGGGGGATCTGATTGCTAGCACAAGGGCTTAAAATACTCCATCAGAAGTAGCAAGAAGATGAATGAATAATTTGGGAATTATAACTTAGGCTACTTTTGAAGGCAAGATGTAGATTTTTCTGAGATGGGGACAAAATGTGTCAGAAATATAAAAAATTAACTAGGTATTTTTAATTACAAAAATGTGAGTCAAGCACTGAAAGAGTTAATAGGCCAAAGCCTGTTAAGAGTCAGTAGGCCAAAGCTAGTGAGGTCCTGAGGAGTCCGAGGTAAACTTCTGTATGAGAGAAGCCTTGTGTGAGAAAGCTCCAGTGAGAAACTGCTGTGTGTAAAGCTACTATATATTTGTTTATTTGTGTTATGGTTACCTAGTTATTGTAAATAGTTTAACCATATTATTTTACTACAAAGAAAAGCCACCTATGGAAGAGATAACATTGGTCTGTGTGTTTTTGTTCTTTTTATCATTTTGGGCTACTGGTGCTGAGCCACGCTGCTGCTGATAAATTTCTCTGCTGTACATTTCTGAGGAGGGTCTTTTGTTAATAAGCCCAATCACCCAAAAAATGCACATCTTTATTCACTTTCATCCCATGCAGATGTCTCAGAAGTGGGAGCAGAAGGGACTAATTAATCACATATTCCCTTCTCTCACTTGTATGGAAGATACACAGTAATCTAGGAGTCAACTGTTGTTGATTTTGCAGTCTCCTCAGCAGCATTTATCACTTACCATAATGGCAAGGGGGAACTGGGGAGAAAGAAATTGTATGGAGATTCCCTCTTCCCCCTCTCCCCCATTTGACCATTTTTCCACCACGATTTTGCATTCCAGCTGGACCTGATCCACCTAGGGGCCAAGTTCTCCCCTTGCATCCGGAAGGACCAACAGATTGAGAAGCTGATCCAAAAAGAGAGAGACAAAGAACGAAATTCAGGCTGCTGTGTCCAAAATGATAATTCAGGATGTGTTCAGACACTGCGAGAGGATTGCTCAGTAAGCACAGTAGTGATAACTGAATTCATTTGAATGCAGATGCGGTGCCGGGAAACAAAGCTTTGGGGGAATAATTTTATGGGGCAATGGCAGGGCTGTCCTTACCATTGCAGAGGAAGGTGGCTGTCCCAGGCTTGCAAATTGAGGGTGTTTGGAAAGGACAGCAGATTTTTCATTATTATTTAACTAGTTATTACAGTTTTGCTGCCTTAGAAGGGGAGAGATACTTGAAGAGATGAAGTGTTTGTTTTAGGAACTTTATCTTGAATGTTGGACTTACTATTTTGTGTATTTTGCTACCTGTCTCAGGCAGCAAAACATCTCAGCCACAGTTTTCTGGATGAGAAGACATAGGGATGTATGAAGAACATTTTGAGATCCAGTCGAAATGTATTTCTTCTAGTGAACAGTTGCCAGTCTAGGGTACGCGAAGGAAGGAGGTGGCTGTTGTGCAAATCCTTCTGTGTTAGTTGAATACTTGGCTTCCAGAAATCTCTCTAAATTTTTCTAAAAATCTTTAAAAAGAATTATTTTATTTCACTTCATCTCTCCCCAATCTGATAAACCAAAACAGCCTAACACATTTTCAGTGATGACCTAGGCTATAAAAATAACTTTCTCTGCAAAATAAATATTTTCTAAAATCAGATTGCTAGTGTGATTCTGTTCTCTCTGTTTTAAAAAAGTCTGTCATACAGAAATGCTAATATTTGATATATACGAGTATATTATATTATATATTTGCTACATAACTGAATATCATGATGAAAGTATGTTCAAAACGTCATTTTCCTCATAGGAAACATTGGCCACTTTTGTGAAGTGGCCAGATCATAATCCGCCAGCTGTTGATCCCAGTAATTCCAGTCTGAAGAGGTCTTCAGGAGCGGTTTGTTCTCAAGATCCCAGGTATCTCTATATATGCTTGTGTGTATATTTTGTGTGTATATTATATGTGAGGAGAAGTAGCTCTTCCTCCACCAAGGGGCTATTTGCATTATGTGTAAGTAAAACGAAATGAGAGGCGTGGAATGGTAGACCTATAACAGATCTGGGAGCACTGTGTGGTTATGGGAGAGAGTGAGTGAAAGAGCAAGAAGATGAGAAGGAGGATTTATGTTTTCATTTCTCATTGCTGCCTGTTTTCCCACAGGACTTGTGAGGAGCCAGCTTCAAATCGACCTCACATCTGGCCAGATGACATCACTAGGTGGCCGGTAAAGATGCTTGCCTGCCTGCCTGCCTGCCCTCCCTCCCTCCCTCCCTCCCTCCCTGTTTGTTTTCAGTCCCATATGCTATGGTTTTCAGCAAAATCGTGTTGATGAGTTGTGGATGAGTCTTTCTCTTTTTGTAATTTTCCACCTGTTTTAATTTCAGATCTGTACCTATCAGGCCAAAAATAATCACACTGGCTTCTTGCATATGGACTGTGACATTAAAGGAAGACCTTGCTGTCTTGGAACCAAAGGCAGGTAAATACTTGTGATCTCAAAGCTGCCCACACATTGTATTGCAATTACCATCTGGAAGTCTTCCTGCTTTCCCTAGTTAGGAAACCAAGGTACTATTTTATTGCCTGCCTGATTCAAAAAGCTATATTCTCTTGCTTGACTTATGTCAGTTTCCTTGGCAGGGCTTACCTCCAGTTAAGATATTCCTGTTTGTGTGCTAATTCAATGAATTTAATGGAGATTGGAATTTGTTTGCTTCTGTGTACTTGTGAATGATATAATTCATTTGAATTTGATGTTTGAGGGTTCCTTTCAACTTCTTGGTTGTACATAAACTATTTTAAGGTTACAGGACTTGTTAATACTGTAGACTTTGCGAAGGATAGAAAGCTATTTTTTTCGTGTCATGAGCAACTTGAGAAACTGCGTCACTTCTGGTGTGAGAGAATTGGCTGTCTGCAAGGACATTGCCCAGGGAATGCCTGGATGTTTTGATGTTTTACCATCCTTTGGGAGGCTTCTCTCCTGTCCCCGCATGGGAACCGGAGCTGACAGAGAGAGCTCATCCACGCTCTCCCTGGATTTGAACTCCAACCTGTCGTTCTTCAGTCCTGTCAGCACAAGGGTTTAACCCACTGTGCTACCGGGGGCTCCTGACAGTTAAATAATAATAGTAGTAATGCATTTTACCCACTTCTCCTTGCAGCTCGAGATGAGGTAGAACATAGTTAAAACACTTCACAATTTAATATTGATTGGGTAGGCCTGCCAGAAGAGATAAGTCTTTGGTTACATCTTAAGTTCCAACAGCTGATTTAGCTGTCAGATCCTTTCTGTCAGGTCATTTCACAGTCTTAAAAGGGACAACTCTGATAGCAGCAAAGTGTCTTCTTGACTATTTTAAACATATTATGGCCTAAGTATTTATGGATGACAGCGCCCTTTCACTGGTTTAGCATTCTGCAGTCCATAAACTTTCGTCCCATACGTTCGTTTTTTTAGGTGCCACAAGGTTGTTGTATGTAGATGAAAGAAGGGATGTTCAACCAATTTGACTACATTTATTTGTCCCCTCTCTACTAGCTGTGAGATCACTACTCGGGAGTACTGTGAATTCATGCATGGCTACTTTCATGAAGAAGCAACTCTCTGTTCACAGGTAAGTTTGACCCTTGGGCATGTATGTGGGAAAATTTCAATGTTTGGTTCATAGGTGAAAATATTTGGGGAAGTGGGATCTTTAAGAAAGTGGAAATCTCTCTCAGCTTCCTCTTTGCACAATCACAATCATGGGTATAAGAGCAGGACTGGTATCAGCACCTTGTATTCTTGGGGAGCTACTAGGGACTCTGTACCTCTTATCCTGCTCCCTTCCTTTAAAAAGGAAATATTGCTCAGTTCTCTGAGCAGCAACAAAAGCAAAAAAAAAAAACCCTCCTAAGTCTATTAGGAACACTTCTGTTTCACACACCTGCTATGTTAAGAGTAGGGAAGAGAGACTGTAGCAGGTCTACGCCTAGAACTGGAACACTTCATTAGGCCGGTCTGGGAAATTAGCTTCAGGACTAAGATAGTAGAGTTGAACAGATATGTTGAAAGTCTTAAAAGATCCCTGGACTACGGTGGGCAGTTATCTGAAAACGCAGATTGTTGCCAGCCTATCTACATTCGTGTTCTAGAAAGACTAAGTTGTCTATGCAGCTTCGTTTATTTTGTATGTTTAGAGACACAGCCAACAAAGAAATTGCTGCATCCTTCTCTTATTCTGTGGAATCCCTGTTTTAAAATACTTCTTTTTCTTTTCCTCCCAATACTTCATTCTAAACCATTTATAATGAAAACAAAACATTTAGAATGAAAGCGAAAAAGAGTGGCTGTTCATATGGCTACAAGTCCAGAGTTAGAAGGGGATATTTGCCTCCTACTGTCAGAGGTAGACTTTTGAACAAACGAAATGCGTGAATCTAGCAGGGCAGCCAGTTTCAGTTGCACTAGAGCAGAAATGATTTGTGGGTTTCCCTTCTTCTAGTTTCTGTTTGTCTACACACTTTGTTATGTTTTGTCTAATGAGCTAAAGATGAGATGTATGAATTTCCTTGTCTTCCACTGAAACCTCAACAACAAACCTGTGAGGTAGCACAGGGAGAGAGAAAGACAGAGAGAGGGGGGGGGGTGTCAAGCGCAAAGACACCCAGTGAGTTTCATGGATTTGGATCTCCCGAGGATCTGAATCCCTTAATTCTCAATTCAGTGCTCTGCCACTATACCACTGGTTCTCTTCCTCTCTTTTAGCACACACAACCTGACTTTCTTTGCCTTTCTAGGTACACTGCATGGGGGAAGTGTGCGGCCTCTTGCCATTTCTGAACCCAGAGATTCCCGATCAGTTCTACAGACTCTGGTTGTCCTTATTTCTTCATGCTGGGTAAGTAAAATAGAGGGGAGATATTGCCTTAGAACAGTGGTTCTCAACCTGTGGGTCCTCGGGTATTTTGGCCTACAACTCCCAGAGATCCTAGCCAGTTTACCAGCTGTTGGGATTTCTGGGAGTTGAAGGCCAAAACATCTGGGGAACCACAGGCTGTGAACCACTGCCTTAAAAGCTGGGGCCTGAGCTGGATTTATTTTTAGGAGGAGGTGAGGTCTTTTTTTAGTGGATAACATAGAGATCCAAGACACCCAAGAAGGTGCACATTTTTATCTTCATAACAAACAACCCTTTAAAGTAGGATAGGGTGAGAGATTTGCCAAACAAGCTTCAAAGCTAAGCCGAAATATCTCAAATCCTGGCAGATCTCAAATCGTGGCTTTAACCACTACACTTTGTTAGTTTTGTTCTACTACTAATGTTTCCAACTTTGACTGGAAAGCTCTCGGCTGTTACAGAAATTCAGCCTCTAGCTTTCTTTGCTTAGCTCTCCTTCTTGCCTGACTTCTTCTGAGTGTTAATAACTGCATCTCAGCTTCACCCAGAAAACTAGGGAGGGAGCTAATCTAGGAGCCATTCATACTATACAGTTGTAGTGCTATGATTCCACTTTAATTGCCCTTATTCTGTCCTGTGGAATTCTGGAAGGTTCAAGTGCAGAAGAGGCTTTTCAGATTCCCAGCCTAGGTGCTCTTGGTCTGGGACTTTTGACCAAACTAAAATCCCAGGAGGATTCCACAGGATGCTACCATGGCAGTTAAAGGGGAATAGGAACTTTGAGTTGTTGTGAGTTTTTCTGGGTGTACGGCCATGTTTCAGAAGCATTCTCTCCTGACATTTCACCCCCATCTATGGCAAGCATTCTCAGGTTGTGAGGTCTCTTGGAAACGAGGCAAGTGAGGTTTATATATCTAAAGATGTTGCTACTGTATAGTGTGAATGAGCCCTTGTTTTTGGCCTGAATTGATGGTTCTGGCCTCCACATTACTGACTGTTTGTGGCCAAATTGATAGAGAATTGTCTTCCCTGAAAGTCTTAAATAGACTGACGCCCCCACCCCTGCACCATTTAATGTAACAAAGATACCGATTTGTCAAATGAACCCCTTGTCACATCATGTTTTGTGTTCATTTTTTGCAGGGGGGTTTTTTGCCCCTAAAGAGTTCTGGGAGTAGAGAATTGTCCCCTAGACCTGCTCCAGTCTCCTTTCCCTGATCTTAACACAGCAGTTGTGTGAAATAGAGGGGGGGAGGGGTGGAGGATCAGAAGTAGTGGTTTTTGAAACAAAGGAAAAAACTGAGGTGTTTTCTGTTGCCTTTTCCTCATAGGGTTATCCACTGTCTGGTGTCAGTGATCTTCCAGATGACAGTGCTCAGGGATTTGGAGAAGCTAGCAGGCTGGCTTAGAATCACCATCATTTTCGTTCTCAGCGGCATCACAGGCAATCTTGCCAGTGCCATCTTCCTGCCATACAGGGCAGAGGTAAGGATGTGGTGAGATCTTTTCTGTGTAGGGCAGAAATGGGCAACTGTCATGAGTCAGAAGACTACATTGTTGTTGCAGGAGACCATAGAGGACTACAACCTTTGGAATTTAGCATTTGCATCCAAATATCCCTATGTTTTGGCCTTTTCTGAGAAATTGCAATCCTAGGAAAGGGAATGTATTGTCGAAGGCTTTTATGATCGGAATCGCTTGGTTGTTGTAGGTTTTTCGGACTATATGGCCATGTTCTAGAGGCATTCTCTCCTGACGTTTCGCCTGCATCTATGGCAAGCATCCTCAGAGGTAGTGAGGACCTCACAACCTCTGAGGATGCTTGCCATACATGCAGGCGAAATGTCAGGAGAGAATACTTCTAGAACATTGCCATATAGCCTGAAAAACCTACAACAACCTAGAAAAGGGACTTTTTTTACAGGCCTTGCCTGGTGTTAGTGGTTTTCAGGATGGCAGTCCTCAGAGGTTTGGGAGCATTTGAGCAGATCCTGAGAATCCCAAAACGTCTCCAGGGCTGTATTTTGCCCACCACTTTTCAACCCAGGAGGAAATGTCACATTGAGTTAATAACCCCATTAACGTACTTTATTCCAATATCCTAAGCAGAAAATTCTCCAAGTCATAAAAAAAAACCCCGCAAGGATCGTCATCACTTTTTTTTAAAGGAAAGAGCACTTGCTAATAGTAACCAACCAGTAGGGCTATCTTCCTTCTTTGTATCAGGTTCTGAAAATGAGGGCATGTGAAAACACAAACAGGGCAGGGCAGCAATAGCTCTTTGGGAATGGAGATATCAGTGAACAACAAGGTTAAACAATTGGTGATGTTAAGAGGTTTGTGATGCTCACAGCAGTGTCATGCAACACTTGGGATGATGCCATTTCAGGCTACAGGTTTAGAGGCTCACGGGTTTGAATATTCTCTCATGTCACCATCTATCTGCTTATGGAAAACTGCTACATAAAGAAGAAAGTTTTAGCATAAATGTTTTGTCAGTGTTCTTGAGTCTCAGAGCCAGTGGCCAGTGTGTGGAGCTGTGTGATTTAGCACTGCCAAACTTTCAGACATAAGGTCTCTGATTGCATTGTATGGTAGTAAGATCCCAAAAGGACTATGTCACGTTATACTATGTCACGTTATACTTGTTCCTAAATAATATACTTTATAATATACTTTATTTATATTCTGCTCTATCTCCCCGAAGGGACTCAAATGGGTGTCTGATCTCTTATATGGTCATTTTCTATGAATTACTGGTCATTTGAGTCACTTCTATGATGTCTTGTACTTTGGATGTCTGCTCTGAAAACACCGGGACCAATGGTAAACTGACTACTGGGGCTTTAAAAAGGGGGATCCATAAGGTGCATCTGGCCCTCTGGCCTTCTGTTGAGCACTTTCAGCATGTAGGGATTTATGCAGGAGTCACTTTCCCTTAGCTTTATCCTCCCACCTCCTTCTTTTCTCCTTTTGGTGGCACGTGTCAGATGCAGTCTGAGAAACAAAGGTAACGTGACTGCAGGTGGGTGATATTATTACCTGGAGTGCCTAGACTGGCCAACTGCCAGCCTTTTCCCCCTGGCTCTGCAGGGGCCAGGAGGAGGGAACCATACAATGCTGCTGCTGCTGCTAGAGCAGGGGGGCTATTGGGAGGTGCTTCTCCAAGGGATTTAGTGTTCTTCCTTGCTTATTAGGACAAGAGATTGAACGGGGCAGGATTTTGAAATGATTGTAGCCAGCAATGCAGAGCCTGCACTTTGAAAATGGTTTGTATGTCTAGGAGGGTCTGTGTGTGTGTGTGAGTATATATTCCATGGTTTAGCTTAGGAATTGGAGGGCAGGAGGCTGCAACCAGAAATCCCTTCAGATGTAAGAGGGCATCACTATCCATCCAACCTGCTGTCACCTCTTCCAGGAGTACGTTTTATAAAGATCAGGTGATAACTCTTATGTACAAATTGCAGTCAAGAGATTTTCAGCCAGTTCTTACTTGTGAAGCAGAGGGTCTTCTAGACTTCAAAGGATTCTCCTTGTAAGGAGTAGTAAAATGCCATGTTCTAATGGTGAACTTATTATCTTGTGTGCTGGTCATTATATAACCCAAACAGCACCAGCCATTTGGGTTATAGGCAGCTTGTATGCAGGAAACAGGGTGGGATGGAGCATCTTGGAAAAGGGCATGTTTGTCAGGAACTCTCAAGAGAAGAATTCCATCTTGCAAGAATTAGTCATGGGACTTGTAATGACCACATCAAGGCATCTTGTTACCTAAAATGAAGTGGCAAATGGCACTCCTCACTCGACTTAAGGTACAGAGTACCTACAATCAATCCAAGTTAACTAGAAGGCTAAAAACCTCACAAGCATTTATCCCCATCCCTGACAGCAAAGTTATAAAAAGATTTCCCATTGACATTAAGTCTAGTCATGTCTGACTCTGGGGGGTGGTGCTCATCTCCATTTCTAAGCCGAAGAGCCAGCATTGTCTGTAGACGTTTCCAAGGTTATGTGGCAGTATGATTGCATGGAGCGCCGTTACCTTCCTGCTGGAGCAGTGTCTATTGATCTACTCCCATTTGTATTTTTTTGAATTGCTTAGATTGGCAAAAGCTGGGGTTAACAGGGGGAGCTCACCTGGCTCCCCAGATTCGAACCACCAACCCTTCGGTCAGCAAGTTCAGTGGTGCAGCTCAGAGGTTTACCACCCGCTGCACCACCAGGGGCTCCAGCACAGATATAGTCAGTACAAAATACTTAATGTATTTCCATAGCATTCCAAATTTACTGCCTAAGCCTTGTGCCTGTGGGGGGAAAACAGTTTCTGCATCCATCAGAGAATAGGCAAGGATGATAGCTTTGAGACTTAGCATTGGGATGACTGATACTTAATTTTTTTTTCTCATGTAAGATTTCACTGACTAGCTTTTAGCAAGTATATCGCTCAGCCAAACATGCCTCTGAGAGATGATGTGAAGAGACTATTTTTGCCTTCATGCCAGCCCTCTCAGGAGAGTGCCCAACACTTTGGGAGTACAGTACCCAGCAGTTCATCCTGACACTTAAGTAAAAATGGGGAGAAATATTCACCATGTTCATAAATAAAACAGACAAAACAGTTGACGCTTTGCAGAATGTGTGTAATTGTGGCTGCTTGAGGTTTTTGCTTTGTACAAGTTGGGTAAGTAGGGCAGGAAACTGAGGAAGCCTCATCCTGTGATGGTAGCCAAGAATATCATTGTGTATGTAGGGAAGGCTCAGATTCCTCATCACTCCAATCTTCTCATATACAAGAACCGTAAAGTGTGAAATACAGGTTGAGCATCCCATATGTGAAATACTCCAAAATCCAAAGTTGTCCAGTGAATTTTTGTGTTTACACTTCTAAAAGAAACCAGAAGTATCAATCACTTTTGGTTTAAAACATTTTGGAGAAGGGATGTTCAGCCCATACTGAGAAGTTTGCAGTACAACACGTGCTGGGAATGAGATGCTAGGCAGTTTTCTTGGTTTACATCTATGGGTGGTACCTTCTTTGCTCCTTTCTCTGAGGCACATGCAAGGCAAGATCCTCCTTCAGTAAAAGCACCCCTCCGTTTCTGCTTGTTGGGCCACACATGCCAGCTGCCCTCTTTGCTTCCACGTGCAAGTGCCCTGCACCCTTTGACTCATGCAACAGCGGGCAGGTGGCTAATCTGAGCTTCTGTCAGGCTCCAAAGGAGATCACTCCAACTAATCCTTCAGACCACATCAGCAGTTTCTCAGGAGACTAGCTGGAGTGGCAGAGCCCAGAGCAGCTGCTGAGTCACTGGAAGGCCTTTAACATCTCCCTCCAACAGGAGTTTTCAGCAATTGCTTTCCTTGCCATGTGAGGAGTGGGTGGCCCATCTTGGAATGAATGAAGTAATGATTGAATGCTGAAGTCTTGAGGAACGGCTGTTCCCACTGTGGATTAGGCACTTTCTGTATTGTTTTCAAAGCTTATTCTCAAAAAGGGGTGTGGTGGTGTGTGGTGTGGCAGAGAGTTTGGATTATTTATCTGGCAGACAGCAGCACCCTCCAACTTGGGGTGCTTGCAGTTTGGGGTCCCTGAGCAACACTACTTATTTCTACCATAAACATTTTCATTTACTAGCAATAGGTTGAGTCTCCCTTATCTGAAATCCAAAATAATCCAAAATCCAAAACATTATGTTTTGTTTGGGAAAAGGGGGCTGATTATACAACCAGTTCTCATTGAGTTTTTTTCCCCAAGGAGTCCTGATGGGAAAAGAGAAGCAGGTGGAAACTCTGTATACATGAGTTAAATCTAGACATCCCAGACACTTTTGCATTCACCTTTCATCTGACAGCAGCAGGGCATGCACCCTAAACATGGCTGGTGTGGGGCGACCCCTTTGGTTACTGACTGTCTTCCTCCCAGAGAATGAAAAAGATTTATAGGGCGAGGGAGGATTCCCCCCCTTCCCAGCTATTTTGCTAAATGGATGGAAAGTCAGATGACAGCCAGCACGGTGGTCTGGGGGTGTGTGCTTTTTACTGGGGCCTTGTTTCAGTTCTCCCCCCTTCACCTCTTCTCTTTCCCTTGTCAGTGCTCTTTAAGAAAAAGAAAAAAAACCTCAGGATCCTTCCAGACAGATCCTATATCACAGGATCTGATTCCAGATTTTTTTTGCTTTGAACTGGATTATATGAATCCCCACTACCAGTTAATCTGGGATAAACAGAAAACCTGGGACCAGATCTTGGATTATAGGGTCTGTCTGGAATGGCTGTCAGTGGGTGCTCGACATCCCTCAAGTACTATATGTGTGCAAATACAGATATTTCAGAATTCAAAAACCCTGTGGTCTTAAGCTTTTCAGATAATGGAGACTGAAGTAATATTTCTGTCACCTGGTACCATTTCCAAATGGGGTGCATTAAGATGGACTGAGTTCTACCTCTCAGTTTTTTAAAAAATTATTGGGGTGTCACATCTGACATCTAACATGAAAAGGTATATGTTTAAGTTGGGATGGAAGGAAGTGCAGGATGTTCTGGTGTGGTACTGCCTTGAAACTACAAGACTTCTGAACATGTTAAGTTTGAGACTTTCCTGCATGATGAGGATTAATTGTTGAAGGATGGCACTCTCCCAAGCTTCCCAACATCCACACACATCAATATGATGTATGAAAAATGGTAGATTTTTAAAAGTCAGATGACGGGTCCAGTGAAGATATAGATCTGTATTTTCCTCTGGCCTATAAGAGAGGTTTTGCCAATGCATTGTTGCTGAGTGAGAGATGGTTTGGTGAAATTTCTGTGCAAAAAATCTGGCACACCCTATCTTTTACATTCTGGTGTCTATCCCCTCCTTGACACATCAGTTCTCAGTGCTGCAAAAACTCAAAATCTGTAATAAAGAAAAATAACCCATACAAACTGACAAAGCAAATGGGGACGTAGTGAACAAGTTCTCCCTCTGCCTTTTAAAAATAACTTGAGAAGTATGAGCACAGTGGTCTCTCCATTCAGAATATGTTTGCTTCGTACAGCATTTGTAACAACTCTGAGCAGAACAAAGTCCTAGCTTTCAACTCGTCTCCATGCTGATATTGTGTATCTTCTGTGGAACATAAGCTAGGGTGGCACTCCTAACTCATAGCATGGAGAAAATGACTATCTGCACTTGCAAGGATTTACTTTTGAGTTTAAAAGCCTAAGGCTGAGCTGAATCAAATAAAATGGCATAAAGAGGAGGAGGAGCTTTGCAGTGAAGAGTAAAGACCATCTAGATGTCTTGACAGTGGAATGTTTTCTGCCAAAATTTATTTTTAATTTTGCTTTTATCCATTAGGTGGGGCCCGCAGGATCACAGTTTGGCTTGTTAGCCTGCCTTTTTGTGGAACTGTTCCAGAGCTGGCAAGTGCTAGAGAAGCCCTGGAAGGCTTTCCTAAACCTTTCTGGAATTGTCCTTTTTCTCTTTGTCTGTGGCCTCCTTCCATGGATTGACAATATTGCCCACATATTTGGCTTCCTCAGTGGGCTCTTGCTTTCGTTTGCCTTTCTACCTTACATCACCTTTGGCACCATGGACAAGTACCGCAAGCGGGCCATGATCATCATCTCACTAGTGGTTTTTGCAGGCCTTTTTGCCTCTCTTGTAATCTGGCTTTATGTGTACCCCATTAATTGGCCCTGGATTGAACATTTAACCTGCTTGCCTTTTACCACCAAGTTCTGCGAGAGGTATGATTTGGATCAGGTCTTGCATTGATGGAGCTGGAAGCCTGTTTGAACATTATTTAATGGAGAAGACTTCGAACATGCTGAATTTCGAACAATAAGTGGACCGAGGCAGCTCTGCCAGTGCAAAGCAGGGCACCTTTGTTCTCAGTCCCTTTGCAATTCCCAGGATCCTTTCATAGACCAGGGCATGAAGCAAAACAATTGGGCATATCCTGTCACCTTTTGCAAAACTTCCTGGAGGGGAGCAAAACAGAAATGCTTCATGATCATACTGGGCATCTGGATGCTATTATTGAGAGGTACTGTTATAAAGTCGGTGCATTATTGGTCGAAGCTTTAATGCCAAAACATTCCCAGACCACCATGCCAGACAGTTTGCAGCACAACAGAGACGCTACCCGCTCTGCCTTCTATTCCAGGTGCCTTGGAATGAGTTAGTAAAGGTTCCACTGGCATTCTTGGTCTTTAGGACAGACTGGCCCTTTCCTGGAATGGAGATCTGGCAGAAAGTAACATTAAAAGAGCACCTTTGTGATGAGGCAATATCTTGCTTCACTTTTTCTACTTAGCACCTGCCTCTCTATGGACTTTTGTTGGATGTTTGTTTTATGCAATTCCTGGTTTCAAGAGTTTCTTTCTTGATGCCTTCTTTTGGCATGAGATGGTGCTTGAACTTTATGGCAGTTTCCCCTTAGTGCCTTTTTGTGGTACTAGGAATTGTACTGTGAAAATAACTCCCTTCTTTGTCCAAGGGGTATTTTTATATGCATTTTTTCTAACAGTCACAATTTTCTATGTGTACCCAGAGACAGACACTTTTTGGCAAAGAGCATTAATGCTTTTAAAGAAACCTTGTGTCATCTGTAATAAATGCTAGTGGCCATATATAGTAGCTGGAAAATACAGAGACTTCGAGTTGTTGTAGGAACATGGCTCGAAGGAGACCTTTTCTTGCACAGGAAAGACAAGCAGATTTTGAAAGTGACAAAATGGGGAGTGGGAAAATAATGTTTTGTTCAAATAAATAACTTTCAAACAGTCCTGTGAAAAGTGTGTTATATAACTTGCTTTGTATAAACCTACCTAATTGTGCAGGTAAGCTGTTTTTGATATGGGTTTTGATACAAGTGTAGCATTGTTGCTTTGAGTGACTGAATTCAAAACTGATATCATTTAGTTATATTGCACATCATTGTACATGGCACTTTACATAAGTGGTTTAATTTGACAGTTCCCTGCTCTCAGACTTATAATTTAAATAAGGCATGACACATAAGGAAAGGGATGACTGGAAAGGGGAATTAAGCAAATATGGACTGCTGTTCTTTCCCTCTGAGGTCGCAACAGTATTAGCCAGGATGGAGAGAGGTCATTTCAGCTGCGCCTGCCAGTTCTTAGTCTCAAAAGGTACTACAGGATTCCTTTTTTTACACTGAAACAGACTATCACAGTTATGTCTTTGAATATTACTGCAGACCACTTAAAACTCTGCCAGATTCTAAACGTACAAGTGTTCTCCAGGCTGCCATCATGGTACAAAAAATGTACCAGCATGAGGATCCAGGGCCAATACAGGCCCAAAATAGCCATAGATGCATCCAGTCTGATACAGCTCGTGCTGAAATAACTGTAATGATGCTAATCATATCTTCCTGTCAGTAATTTTCAAAACTGTATTGCTCCTTGATCCATGCCTCAGTATCTGCTAAGTAGAGGACTGTCACAGCTGATGGTATATATGAGAAATTTCATTTTCTAAATTCTTGATGTCTTCTTCCCCTCAAATTTTAAGTGAGCCCCTTCATTTGCAGTTTCTTCCCAACAGTTGTTTTCTGATTACATAATGTGGTCGGTGGTGAAGGAAGGGGGAATAAGAGCAAGAACCCATTAAGAAAAAATCATTTATTTGCTGACAACAAAATACATGGCAAGTGGGAAATGGCATGCAGAACAATGAAGAATTAGAGACCGCATAATTTCCTGTTTACAGTAGCAAGGGCTAAGGAGTATTTCTCTCTATAGAAGAGGTTCAGTTGACCTGCAACATCAAGCCAACATGAATTTATTTGTTCTACCCATTAGGTTAACCTTGGAAAACTGAGTGTGCTTATTTCATTACTAATCCTTCTGGGAGTAAAAACCTTTCCCAAGACCAGAACAATTAAAAGAGACATTTATCAGCATGTCTTAACTGTCTTCTTCCTAAGGCCACACTGGGCCATAGCAAGTGTGATCTAACCCCATTAGATCAAGCTAGAATAGAAATAATCTTTTCAAATGTGCAGTGTTGATTTAAATACAGATTACAACCAACACAGCTGCTGATTCTATATGAGTGTGTGGTATTTAAGAAGTTTGTTTCACTGTGGTTGCAACAGATGAGAGAGGCTTTGCTGCTTAGCCAACTGCATAAATCCATATTTGAATAGTTTGGATCTCACTCCCAAGAACAGGAATATTGGTGAAGTTCCTACTGGCTCCCCAGTTATCAAAAGAAGAAGCAGATCCAGGCTATCAGTCAGGCCACTCTGAGTAGTGAGTAAGTAGAGTGTTAGTCTAGGTCATGAACAGAGAAGATGCTACTCTCCAGAATACTAGTAAGTGTTAACTACAGCAGAAAGAGGCCTGTAAAATTCTGTGGTTTCTCTTGTTCAGCGGGGAAATGTGAAAATTAAGCACACTCTTGTAAGCAGGAACTTGACCTTCACCTCTCTAGCATAGACATTGCCTGAGGAAAAAAGGTACTTGTGTCTTGAGCAACATATATTTGTAGAGTACCACATTACATTGTACAGCAAATTCAAACACAGATTCCATGCATTTCAGAACAAGAAAGCCACAAGTATGAAAAGGCATTGAGAACATCTCTTTACAGAGAGAGTAAGTTCATCAGAACATAGTTCTTTCCCAAGACAAATATCAATACCCTGAAATAATTACATTTTTCGGCTTCTCGGGCAATATTTTCCTTCCATACATATGGGGTGGGGGTAAAGGAAGGTAACACAAGTGAGGAAAAATAGGACAAAGTTTAGCTTCTGCTTTTAAAGGCAGCTGTATGGTTGTTGTGTTTTTAAGGAACTGTTGGCTCTTGAGAGTTTTGTTTCCCTGAAGAGATGGCTGCCTAGAATGATGGAATTAAATCAAGTTGTTGATCTACAACACAAGTGGTTCCCAAACTTTTTAAAAGCAGACCCATCTATTACACTTCTTTTGTCTATGTGTGCACATGCACTTGACCGCAGATGCCCCCTATTCCCCACCATACAAACAACTTGGCATCCCACCCACAAGCCTCCTCTGATCCATCTCTAGGTTCCATCAGAAAGGTTGGGAATCACTGAGAGCAGGTCTTGCCAGCAAACATGATGAGCAGCTGGAAACGAATGCAAAGGGGAGGCATAACCTCAGCAACCACTGTTCCTGCGCATGAAGGCATGACCACGAACAGCATGGTTCATTTCAATGAAATTCAACGATCCCACAGTGACGTCGCAGGGGCCTAATGCTTTGAAGCCACACTTAGAGTAAAAAGGAACAAGGAAGTCCTCACACATCAGCGTAGCATGGCGCACATAAGGTAGGCAGCACAAGTACTGCAAGTAGCGCCACATCAAGATAAAGCCTTTGCCTTGCTGGCGGAAGGTGCGATGGACTGCCAGGACGTGGATGTGGACCTTGGTACCATGGGGTTTGTGCAGAGTCAGAGCATCCTGACAAAGGAGAGAAGAGAAGATGACAATTACTACTAAGATTTGGTCCTACCAATTTGTATTTCCTAATATTGGCTGAATTGACTGCTTAAAACAGTGGTCCTCTTCTACTATGAAATATAATACTATCAAAGACACGGTGTGGTGGTTCCAATGTTGGACTAGGACTCTGCATCTCAACTCAAGTCATGGAAACCTTTGGGACCTTGGACTAGACACACACTCTGAGCCTCAAAGGAAGGTAATGGCAAACCTGCTCTGAACAAATCTTGCCAAGAAAAGCCTATGATAGGGCTTCTGTAAGGCAATGATGTTACGTTTGAAATTGTTAACTGGTACGAACAGACGAGTTTATTAGTTCTACTAGAAAACATTTTACACGATGAGACACATAGAGAGAAAAATATCAGATGCTACTAACATTTACATAGCTATGGTTTCCTTTCTGATGTCTTCTGGAATATTAATAAACAAGGAAAAGCTTGCTTTATACTGAGGCAGCGCAACAATCCACCTGTCCTATAATTATTTCACTACCAGACTCTTAAGCAGTATTTTTTTCAAGGTGCACTGTGTGATTATTACCCCAGTTTACACAGGCAAAGTAACAGCCATAAAAAATGTCTCAAGTAGGCTTCAATGGGCAATCCAATTATTTTAGGATTGACATCTGCACTCACAGTTACACTTGTTCAATTTCTACATAGCCAATCATACCAACTTTCAATGAGTGTCACCTTTTCCTTAGACATTATCTTGGACAAGAAAGCAATGGATTACTTTTGAGAATTGGACATATGTCGAAATTCTACAGGCCATCTTTGACTACCAAAAAAAATCATACTACAGCTTATCTAGTCTGAAAAGATTCAGAGTGGGTGTAAATTTATGCAAACAGAGGGTGACTTATAATAGAATCATTCTTTGTTTACCCACAAACTGGTAATACAGATGAAGGGGTACATGAACAGTGACAGGACAGAGAAAGAGGGCCATTTCCTTCCGTGATAGTGGTAATGCTGAGAGGGAACAGGAACTACTTTTGTTCCTCATGTCAGTTGGCCACGGCTGGATAATGAAACATTGTGGGGATAGTAGACTATTTCACTTGTTTCTCCAGACCACTAGAAAGAAAAACTAATGTAGCATCTTCATAATTTGAGTAATGAAATTTTAAAATGTGGAGTAAGAATTGCTGATGGGTGTTATCTTGCACCCAAATGTGTGAAATGATTTTAAATGCAGTTGGAATTTTCCCATTAGTGTTAGTACTTGCCGTGTTTACACTAGGCTCTATTCACATCCTATTCCAAACGGTTCTAAAATGAGAAGTAAATGCATTTTTAATTGTTCTAGTTATTACCTGGCTCAATCTCTCTTGGTCCCAGAGGGAGCCTATAATGAAGGCAACTAGCCGGCCTTCTTCAAACCAGCCAAGCGACAGTTCAGGACACAGGTTCAGAAAGTGTCGGATCTCATCCAAATGGAGAGGACAGTCTCCAGACACTGAAATAAATGCTGTGAAAGACAACAAAGAAATCAATGGTATGCTGCTGAAGCGTCATGCAGATAGGGAAGATGTTGGGTCTAAGAATAAAGGCACAACAAAGGAACTATAAAGAAAACAAATGTTACATACTCCATTATTTAAAATCATGAAAGAAACTTAGTTCTTCAAGTGACTAAAATACTAGCCTAGTAAATGTATATATCACAAAAGGATTCTGAATGATAAAATAACCATGTTCCATACTGCTCCAACGCTTTACTTTTAAAAAGAAAACTTCTAAGTCCAAAAAGCAGCTAGTAATTTGATTTTTTGCATTATCTGACAATAGAAAAAGGTGTCATTTCGTCTTAAGGGTGCTGCATTTTTCATTTTTCTCCCCCTCCCTTAAAATAATAGTACTTCATAAAAACTGAAGAATGGAAGTGCTTTTCCTCTGGAAAGTAGGACAAATACCATTACAAAAACCTAACTGATAGATGAAGTGGCGCTTTACCTTCTCTCTCAATTTCGAAGACACTGATGGCATCCTCAGGAGTGAGGCACCGGAACTCGCTGGCAGGGAGAGTGTGCCGGCGCTGACGCCCAGGAGAGCTCCGTGGAGGTCTGAAGTGGGTGGGCTTCAGAAATGGTAAGGCGCTGGTTGCAGACATCCCCTCTGTTTATTTCTGTATCTTTGGCAAATGGTTCTCTTCCTTTTGGAATCAGGATGTCTTGATTGCAGCCAACTGCTTCCAGCACGCTTGGCCAACAGATGGAAATACCTGCGCAGCAAATATCAGATTAGGACATTTGCATCCCTTTATATATACATGCCTGAAACATATTGCTGCTTCTAATGTCTTAGTCATCGTCACCACTACAGCAACAAAGGTCCACCAGGTCACAGAGGTAGGTCTTGGCTATTGTTTAGCACACAAAAGCAAAGTCTAGCAAACATCCAGGTGCTGTGCATTAGAGCAATAATGACAGAGGAAAGGAATTGAACATGGTTTTTATAGCCTGAGGACCTGCTGACAGGGTTAAGTGGCAAGATAGGCAGGGTTAATACACTGACGTGAGCTGGAGCAGATTGGTTATTCTGAGGTCACCCAAAAGCTGGATCGGATGACTCAAACACACTCTTAGGACCTAATCCTGACAGATACAGATTGTCTCCCACTAGGTACTGGGTCCCTTTGCTTCCAATGGGGAAAAAAGACACTCAGCCTCAGAAAGAGCATACTGGGTTCTCACACAGAATCAGACTCTTAATACTGTCAAATCAATCTTCCGCCTTCTGGAAAGCTTTCCTGTAATGTCTAATTAACCATTATATAACTCAAAGAACACAATGCACTGGAAGAGGCAAAAACAGAGCAATGGTAGGGTCAAAGACCACCTGCAGGACAATCTCAAGGATAGCAGTTGATCTTATTTGGAGGAAGAAATTAATTTTGAAAGGGCACATTGAGCAGAGACGGCTAAAGGAAGAATGCTAAGGATAAGCCGGAAATAAGCTTTCTTAAACCCAGCAGCCTTTGGCAAAAACAGGGAGATAGAAATTCAAGACACTTCCTGGCTGTTCTTCTTTCATTGCCTTTTTCAGACTATGGGATGCTGACTGAGTTAACAAGCTACGAAGTAACAGCAGAATTAAATCCATATAAAATGTATGAGGAAGCAACAAAGTGATCCATTTGTTCTCAAATCTTCAGGACTCTTTACATTGGGTTATATTTCAAATTGCCTAATTCACTGATGAAATATATTGCCATATGATTTAGAGATGGCTATTGGTTTAGCAACCTGTAAGATTAAACGAATTCACAAAGTACTTATGTATGAGATCATACGATCTTGAAAAATGTGTCTCCATTTGAGCAAAATATTGTCAACACATGGTCCATCTGGTGCCCACTATCTCTGGAGGAATGTGGGCTTTCTGTTCACAGGAACCTAGGTTGGTTAACTAAGAAGAAGGAGACATTCAATATTCAATCCATGCAGGGGGGTTTTAAGAGCCTTCGTTTTTTGAAGAGCCTCTCAAATATGACCAGAATAAAAAGGATGCGACATACGTGCATGTGCTTTAAAGTGTTATTTCAAATGTGCAATTTGCCAGCGTGCTCCAGTGTGAAAGGAAACCAAGAGGACAGATCAAGTAAAGGAGATTAGCCCATGAACTATGACAAGTCCCGGAGGCGAGTGCTTTGACGTGACAAGTGATCTGTACACAGAAGTCTTAAGTACCACCCTCCAATCAGATCTCAAGAGGCAAACTTTATTCCCACGCTGGGGGTGTAAATTAACATCAGACACAATATGACACAGTAGGAATTATAAACATAACCCAAAGCTTGCACACCTATCCTATCCAGTTTGTATAGTTCTGTATACCCTTATAAGCACAGTGCATGAGCCACGAAAGGACCTGGCTGAAGGTATTATTTTGATGCATGTATATCTCTATGGCAGAAGCTGCTAGGAAAAGGGTGGCAAACCATGTGTGTGCAAAGTAGACTCTACTTTCCATTTAGAATTTTACAAGAATTTGGACAAATCTGAACGGAAGTAGCAGAACATGAGAGTCTTTTTATTAAGCTTGACAGGCAGCATCTGCATAATTTATTTTACCAATGAAATACTTAGGTCTGAGGTTTTCAACTTTTAGTTATCAATTTAGTAATTTCAAATATTGTACTAAAATATTTTAGCAATAATTTATGTGCAGTGCTTGCAATTTTTTCTGAGAAGTAGGACAGGTTCATTAGAACTTTGTATTTGGCATTCATCGATAGCTTATAGATCGATGGTGAGACATACTGATTATCACTTGCCAAAAAGAACTAAGATCCTGGGTGTACAATTTTTAAATAATATTTATCAAAAAGGCAACAATAGAGCAAGGGAATTTATTAACATAATGTACCATGACTCAGCAATGAACTAAATCTTCTTTAAACAAAAAAAGAACAAATCCATGCATCTTTTTATCTCAAGCACAAATACAAAAATCTCTGACTTCATATATGTGGAAAGTATGTGTACCTTCAATATATAATATATGAAGCAGGGCACAGTTCCCAAAAACAACTCAGATTATATAAATGTATTTGTCTTTAACCAAACTAATACATTTATACAGTACCAGTGCCAGAGAACATTTTTGTTTTAGCTGTTACAGACGAAGATAGCAACTATTTCTTAATTGGTATATACACATCTTTTACATTCAAGACGTATAAGACAGTGCAAACTGTAATCTCTCACTAATCGAATTGCAAAATACTGCAAGTCTCTACTACATACAGAAATGTAATAATTCAGATATATGCAGAAATAAAACTGATCCTAATAAACGCTGCTTTTGAATTCCAGCTTCTGATAACCTAATTGCAAACTAATTTTGCTAGTGTTACTCTCTCAGTTCTGCTGAAAAACATAATGATATTTTCTGAATAGTTTCAGGTCTGCAAATGTCTTCATATGTCTTCTCCCATAAGATGGAACGTGTTAATAAGTCAATAAAATAAATTTATCAATAATCTTTTGCCAAAAAATGTAGTGATAACAAGTTTTTATATCAGATAATGTGGCTTTGCATTGCTTTTTAGGACCATTGGTTATCTCCAGTACCTTTAATATGGAAAGAAATTTGTTTTTAAAGTACCCAATGTGCACATTAGCAAATGCAATGATAAATAAGATAAAAACAAGTTATTTAACTCGTATTCCAGTCCTACTTTGCTTTGTTTAGGTCCCCACATGGCCAAGAGGGTGTAGCCTCTGCCTGCACTAAGATCCCTCCAGAGTGACAGACTAGATACAATAATAATAATAATAATAATAATAATAATAATAATAATAATCTTTATTTGTACCCCGCTACCATCTCCCCATGGGACTCTGTGCGGCTTACATGATGCCAAGCCCAAAATGTCATCTTGTGACTTCAAAACTTTTCTGGTTTTCTCTTGTATGATACACACACACACACACACACACACATTTCTGATGAAGACGCCAATGGTGCTTCAAAAGCTAGCATGAAATGTTTGTGCATTTGACTGGCAAATTAAAGACAGATCTCTTTTGCAGATTTTGTATTTTGACTTATTTTGCTGTATGGCTACCTATGAATATGTTTCATACACTTAGCTATGATCATATACATACCTACATGTACATCAGTTCTGTTTAAAGCAGTAACAATATAATTTTCAGTAGTATAAGTAAAGATATTGTAAAACATAAAAAATGAAGAAAGTCCCACAATTTTCATAGAAAGAAATGGGGGAAGAAACCATGCCTTCAAATTATGTTATCATTCTATTTAGATGTTAATTGGCTGTTACCCAAATGGTATATATAATCTCTATTGGTTGAAAACAGCACATAGCATGGAAAGAGTACACATTCACTTTCAGAATGTGATTTTTCCCAACTTGGGAGGTCAACATCATAGATATTATAGCAAAAGAACAAACTCTTACCTGTGCAGTAATTATTTTTAAGGATCTCAACTGATGATCTCTGCAGATAGCAATCTGTAGACCTCGTAAAATCACTGCTAAAAAGAAGGAAGAAGGAAGAAGATTGGGGTGGATGCTGAGGTATTCCCAGCTTCTTTGCTAGAGAGGCTAAAGGAACTCCAGCTTATATATTTGTTATTTATAACACACGTGATAGGATTCTTAAGACATTTTAAAATCCTCATGAGACAAAGGTACTTGAAAGGCCTCAAGCTGACATGACAACAAAAGGATCGCAGCAGGCTTTACTGTCTTGGCATGATTTTCAGCTGAGGGATAAAGCATTTTAGCTGATTGCTAGAAACAAGGATCATTGCAAAGGCCACAGGTGAATTGCACAGAAATGTGCCAGCAGAAAACAGGTGAAGCAAAAACACATTGCATGCCTTTGATGTATAACGGTTTCAAATAAATAATAAATGTAGCAGTGAACTCTAAGAGGGATGGACTCTAAAAGGCATGCAAACCCCTAGGCCCTACTTCTGTTGCCCCTGCAGACCCTCACCATTTTCTCCAAAGCCTCCTCATATTTCAAACATAATTGGAATGATCGCCTCCCAAATGCCCCAAAAAACACAAAATTACTTTCTCTGCTCCGCACTATCCCCAAATACTTCCACGTTTCCTTACAGTTCCTTTCAAAATGACAATAAAAGGTGACATGATTGTAGTACAGGGACTGAAAAAGGGTAGACAGAGGTATTTGAGCTTTATGTCAGGATACAGTCCACAGGGCACTTGGGTGGGGAAGAAATATTAGCCCCAGGACCCAATGCTAAAATTTCTTGCCTGAAAGTAGGCATCAATCTTTTTGTAAAACAATTGCTCCCCTGATTTTGCCCTTGACATGTTGTATTTCATAACTGAATCTTCCATCATTCCCAGATAACCAATTGTTTAGGGAGCCATGTTAGGAAAGAGATAAAGAACATCTGCATTAAATTCTACATCCTAAACTGTGTAAGATTAACTTATAGATTTCATGAAAATTTTAGTTCCAAGTCAAGGGAAAGGTGCACAGAAATCTCCAAACTGCAGCTCTGGGAGCAGGACTCTGAAAACGAAAGGCCATCAAAGACTGCTGTGCTGGGTTAATTTTTTGGGATTTTTTTAAAAAGTGTACAAGAATCTTTTTTTACAATGACTGCCATCCTATCAGAATTAGTTTCTCCACTGCAGCACTTTTTAAAAGGCAAATCACACATGGTTGAATACTGTTTAATTATTCTACAGTTAGCCTTCTAAAATGGTTACAAAAAAGGAGTCTACATGCACATGACAGATAACATCTATCTGCTCCCAGACTAACTTCTAGAGACCTAGAGAAAAAAGATTTTAAAAACTTTATAAATCATATTAGCAACTTTAGAATAATATTTCCTCCAAAGGCATACAACAAGAGAATAGGAACATTTGTTTTTATGCAACTGTGTTGCGTATGCTATAATTTCATGGAACATCTGATCCCACTGAGCTGTGCTCATCCACTGTAATGATAAACCATAGCTTATAATAACAAGAGCAGGCTTCAGAGAGTGCATGTTGTCCTCTCCAGCCCCCGTGGCTCAAATGAATTCAGAAAGTTTTTTGTTTTTTTTCCTGAGGATGATTTGTCTTATTATTTTGAAGGACAAACAGTGGTTATCACTAATTTTGCTTCATTTGAAATAACTTTAAGCCAAGGTTTAAAGAAAAGGGGGCAGCATGCAAGCTCGGTTTGCCTCAAATTGGATTTATCAGACTGAATAATAGTTTGGGGTTCTGCAACACATGATCCTCGCACAGATTTTTTTTAAAGTGCAATTTCACAGTTCCAACAATGGTTAATTAAAATTGGCAAAGATAACAGTAAAATCTATATCTATATATCTATATCTATCTATATAATAAAAATGAAAATATGTTTGTATGCTTGTGTGTGTGTATATATGTATGCTTGTTTACGGACGATTTCCAAGAAGGCTCCCACTTCCAAAGAGCCCTGTGCCATCCACTAACAATGGATCTGGACCACACTTACACACTTGGAACACCAACACCCCCCCCCCCCCCCCGAACAATATAAAATACTGAAGGGATTTGGGGAGGGGTTGACCCGGTATTTTGGGATTTATAGTTCACGCACATCCAGAGAGCATTGTGAGCCAAACCAACGATGGATCTAGACCAACTTTGCACTGATACCCATAATGACCAACTTTGAATACTGGTGGGATTTGGGGGGAGGGGGAATTGATCCAATACCGAGTTATAGTTCATCCACATCCTTATGTGTTTTCTAATCAGAACATTAATTAAAAAACCCCAAGAGCAAATAATGACTATTTCTTACAAACAGCATTACAAAAGACCTAACTCAAGCATCGGCAGGTACCTAGGCTAGTATTAAATACAAAAGAGACATCTTGGGAACAGCAAGAAAGAGAGGATAATTCCATCTCCTGATGCCACTTCACTACTTGCAGGCCAGCACAAAAGCAGAAAGAACAAATCACACAAAGCAAGTGAGGGGAACTTGTGGGGATTGCCAGCTACTGCTCATCAATAAATAGTGGGGGATGGGTTAACCATGGAAAGGAGGCGGACTGGCAGCAGGATGTGCATGGGATCATGCAACAGAGACCAACATCAAGGTGGCAGTCCAGCTTCAATGCCAGATTGCCTGCCTCATTCAATGAAGTCCTCAGTTGCCTTCATACAGTGATACATTCACATGTCACAATTTTAGTGAGACATTACAGAATATATACATACAATAAGGAAACAGATATCACACACAGGACAAAGCATAGTATATACAGGGTGGGACCACGGCTGACCCTGTTTAGCTTTCAAGATCAGACAAAATCTGGTATCTTTGGCCAATATATATCTTACCTAATGTTACGAGATATATGATCGATTTTAAGAAACCACAGTACTCTAAGCTGTATAGATTATGTCTTACTGGATTTATTCTATATGTATTTGGATATTATATCACAGGCATGCAAAAATGGTAACATAGCATATTAACAAATCGAGTGCAGCATTTAGATTCAAAACTACATAGTACTATCAAAGAGCGCCACCTGTTGGGAAAATAAAAGCTGCCAAACTGACACTATAAGAGGCAAAAAATCTGTTCAAAGCAGATGGGGGAAACAGATGGGCCTCTTTACAACATTTTACATTCACTAAGATGTGGGTGGGTTACAGCTGAGTGCCGCTTTTCTCAGCATTTAAATAATTGATCCAGAGGTGTAAATATTTTTTGCAGATCTAGGAGCATTATCTAAGACAGTGGTGACACGCTTGCCAGGAGCATGCAGCACCCTCTCTGTTGGCATGCTTGCCATCGTCTCCCCCCCTCCAACCCTGCTTGCACGTCCCCAAGGTAATTTTCTCTGTTATTGTCCCTTTGGCAGACAGCCTCAAGGGCTTCTACCTTAAAGGAGGTGTTGAAACGGACTTCAGAAATTATATTTCTCAGAGGAAAGGGTTTCATGACCCCCAGGTTAAGATTTCCTGGTATAATATTACAAGTGGCCACAAAAAGAATTCCTGAGAAGGTGGGATCACAATGCAAGTCCTGCTCCGACCTTCTCATTTTTTTCCACCAAAACCTTCTAACTGAGGGACAAGAAAGGCAATGCCCTCCAAAGGTTGTTAAATTCATCAGTTGAGGCAATGTTGAGGATAGATGGGAGTGCAGTCCAACATCATCAAAGGGCTCTCCTATTCTGCCACTTGTAATATTATACCATTCTGTCTCTCCAACTTATGTGATTTGGCATGTTCTGTAAAAAGAAGGGGAATGCCATGCTGCTTTCCAGCCATCAGCAGGTAGGGATCATTGCCCAGGTATGGTAGAATATCCTCACCACCCCCATGTAGTATTGGTTTAGTCCCTTTAGTGTTTGTCAACATGTATTTTTCATTCAGCTTTAGAAAGTTAACTCCGGGGTCATGGAGTTTTGACTCTACAGTCTGAATAACACACAGCATTATGCAAGACATACCAGACAACTTAACCACCCAGTAATTATGACTACATGACTACATGACTCCTTAGAAATTTCTAGTAACATAGGCAACATATCACACTTTTACTTCACAGGAACCTATGGGCAAGAGATACCTCTACTTATTACTGTGATTCCAGTTAGAAAACAAAATATCCACAAGATGGAGCCAGAGTTTCCAGGAGAGAGGGAGGGAGAAGCAGCAATAAAGGATACAGTTGTGCCCAGAAGCTGAATTGCACATCTCCTGGGCCAATGGGGCTTCTTGCTATTTATACCCATAGCTGAAAGGAAAACCCAGTAATCTGAACCATAATGGCTATGGTTCAAGTAAAAGAAAAATATAAAAAAACTTAGAATATTTGGAGAAGAAAAGTACACACTAAAGGAGATGGAGAAATAGGAGTCCAAAATGTCATGTACACATATACATCACACTGGGGGTAAATTGGGATGGGACACATATAACCTTCAATTGATGGGCTGCAAATTCTATTATGTTATACTGGTTAGGGCTGATGGGAACTGAAGTTTATCATCTGGTGGACTAAACATTGCTCACTCAGTTTAATGCTTTGCATTACTGTTCTAAAAACAAAACAAAACAAAAAACCCATACATAATGGATTAGAAATGTAAAGGCAAAATATGATACTGCACAGAGAACTCAAGTAGTTTCATTTTGCCCTGAAGACTTAAGTTTCACATATACACATCAAAACATCATTAAGATGATGGGACACCATATCTCTTTTGCTTTGAAGGGTATGGTTCTTAGAGACAAGACTTAAATGCAGCAACTTCCTGAGCTTTGTGCATCTTAGTAATATGAATCTCTACACTTGTTCCCTAGGAACAATATAGAGATTTCAATGTAGGGCACGTGGATACTCTTCTATAACTTGGGTATGTGGATTATCTTTTATAACAGTAAGATTAGTCAGATCTTTAGAAACTATTTTTATGTCTCCTTTAGTTGCAGCTATCCATTTATACTATATTCATGTTCATGGGAGGATGCAACAATTGTACTGGGAATAAATCTTAAGAATGGCTGTTAAAGCCTCATGTTAAAATTATTCTGTCAAAATACTTGTACAATATATTGTACAAAACTACACTGCCAGCCTTGACTGCTAAACACATGGAAGATAATGAGTAAGACCTGGGGCGAGGTTTTTTGTACAATTAAGAAATTAATGCTAAACTCTCAATAAAATCACTATACTGTCTCTACATTTTATAACATTAATACTATCTCATTTTTTCTCTATACAGAAACAAAGCTTCACTCCCCATAGCTTCTGGTTAATTGGGCTTTTATATCAGGGCCTCTTTCACTAGGATGACGGTTAGACTCTTGTGAGCATGAGACATTAGCTCCAGAAACTCCCGTTGCCCTCCCAGCTCTGAATTTCCATGTCACAATTGGACTCCCTCAATTTGCTTTACGTCTAAGCTAGCAGTGATGGATGTCCAAAGGAGTTAATTGAGAGTAGTGCACACAAATTATTCCCATACCAGACTCTAAGGGTTTTCAACATCACAATAATAGTACCAAAATTATACCCCGATCATTTTTATTAGGTAAAGAAAACACCTCTCTCCTCCTTACTTTCAAATCTCAAAGTAACCTTTAAAATTGAATGTATTCGATTTTGCTCTTTGACCAGTTTCTCTCTCCCATGCCTTCAATTCCTCATGTCCACACTCTTGCAGTCATCAATTTAATCATCGTGTCTATGCTTCGGCTCAAATTTTCTACTCCTCTCACCAAGACTTTCCCTCCTTTTTTTCCTGCATCTTTGTTGTTGTGTGTCTTCAGTCATTTCTGAAGTATACCAACCCTAAAGTGAACCTATCACAAACTTTTGGGGCATGACTTGTTCGGAGGAGGGGGCACCTTTGTCTTCCTCTGAGATAGTGTGACTTACCCCAGGTCACTTAGTGGGTTTCCACAGCCAAGTGGGTATTCAAACACTGGTCTCCCAGTCTTCACTCTATGCTCAAATTGCTGCCCCACACTGGCTCTCTTTCCCCATGATTCCTTCTCTGAGTCTAAGCTACAATACAGACCCAGAATGAGACAAAGGGGACAAATGCACAACAGATGGCTTAATTAGAAATCCTCTTTTTTCCATTTTATCTTTATTCATTTGCTTTCCTTTTCACTCCTCATCCACCTTCCCATTTTGAGTGCCACTCCCTCCATCTTCAGCAAGACACTCATGGGCAGCCAACTTCAAATTGCTGCCTGTCCCTAACAGGGAACAAAGCCAAGTAGGGGCCTTTGGGGGCAGACACTGGGAAAAGGAGGAGGACAAAAAGGGAATGAGATAGAGAGACCCACCCCCAAAGGTCCCTCTACTGCACTGTAGAAGGCCATTGGCATTCTCTGCTAAAGAGTGGTGGTGCCTCGGCAAGCTCCAAATCCTGGGATTTCATGGCCTTGAGCAGTGGTGGTTCCAGTGGTGTGGAACTGCCTTCATCTGTAGCAGGCATGGGCAAACTTGGGCCCTCCAGGTGTTTTGGACCTCCTATAATTCCTAACAACCTCAGGCCTTTTCCTTTTCTCTCTCAGCTGCTTAAGCAGAAAAGCTTAATGTCATCAATTGGGGACCCCTTCCCCCAGCACCAACTGCTGCTCTGGGCCAGAGTGAAGAGAGAGGGGGACAGTTCCATCTTGTCTCCTGCATATGTCATCAGCTGGGGACCCCTCCTCCCAGAACCAATTGCTGCTCTGGGCCAGAGTGAAGGGGGGGGGGGGGCAGAACACAGTTCCACCTTGTCTCCTGTGCTATTGTGTTGGACGGGGTCGCACTCCCCCTGAAGACGCAGGTTCGCAGCTTGGGTGTGACTCTGGATTCTTCGCTAGCCTTGGAACCCCAAGTTTCGGCGGTTTCCAGAGGAGCATTTGCACAGCTTCGGCTTGTGCGCCAGTTGCGCCCGTATCTTGGGAGGTCGGACTTGGCCACGGTAGTCCACGCTCTTGTCACATCCCGTATAGATTACTGCAACGCGCTCTACGTGGGGTTGCCCTTAAAGACTGCCCGGAAGCTTCAGATGGTCCAGCGCTCGGCAGCCAGGTTGCTAACGGGAGCGGCTCTCAGGGAGCATACCACCCCCCTGTTGAACCAGCTCCACTGGCTGCCAATTTGCTACCGAGCACAATTTAAGGTGCTGGCTTTAGCCTATAAAGCCCTACACGGTTCCGGCCCCACTTACCTCTCCGAACGCATCTCCACCTATGAACCGGCAAGGGCGTTAAGATCGTCCGGGGAGGCCCTGCTCTCGGTCCCGCCAGCGTCACAAGTGCGGTTGGTGGGCACGAGAGACAGGGCCTTCTCGGTAGTGGCCCCTCGGCTATGGAATGCGTTACCAGTGGACATCAGGCAGGCCCCTTCGTTGCTGGTGTTCCGAAGGAGGGTTAAGACGTGGCTCTATGAGCAGGCATTCGGTTAGCTATGCAGTAACAACCACCCCAATAATGACGGCATTGAACAAGGATTGAATTAAGGACTATGAGAACGGGATCTGATTCTAAGTAGGCGTTGATGATTATGTGTATTGTTTGTCGATGTACGTCTTATATATTGTTCACTGTTTATTTTTACTGTAAACCGCATTGAGTCGCCGCTCCAGGCTGATAAATGCGGTATACAAATGGAGTAAATAAATAAATAAATAATAAATAATATAATATATTGTGTATATACATATAACATTTATAATAATGTAATGCAATATAATAATATATTATAATTATATATTTCTATTACATGTAATATTACTAATATTACATGTATAATATAGTAATATTTAATACTGATATTGTACTATGCTAATAATATAATATATTGTATGCATATCTTGTAAGCCGCTCTAAGTCCCCTTCGGGGTGAGGAGGAGACTCAGAGATATTTTATTTATGTCGTAAATAAATAAAATAAAGGGAAAAGGAAGGGGGGCTGAGACTGTTAGGAATTGTGGAAGTTGAAGTCCCAAAACACCTGAGGGGGGGGGGGAGTTTGCCCATGCCTGCTGGAGATGAAGGCAGTTCCCCACCATTTGAACCATCATGGCTCAATGCCATGAAATCCTAAAATTAGATATATGGCTTTAGAGCAGTGGTTCTCAACCTGTGGGTCTCCAGATGTTTTGGTCTTCAACCCCCAGAAATCCTATCAGCTGGTAAACTGGCTGGGATTTCTGGGAGTTGTGGAGCAAAACACTTGGGGACCCACAGGTTGGGACCCACTGCTTTAAAAGAACGCCAAAGGCCTTGTAAAACTCCAGCTCCCAGGATCCCAGAGCATTTTGCCATGGCAGTTACAGACAAAATGCATTGATTCTGTCTTGTGGATGCGCCATGACTAGGGAAGGGGAGCACTTGTCTGCTCCGCCTCTGCTTTCCCTCGTAGGGTGGGAAGGGGCGCCATCTTATGATGCTCTACTTGAGGCATCAAAGGCCTGTGAGCACCTTCTGGAGCCCTCCTCCTCCTCACAGAGACACGCTCTCGATTCTCCCTGTTTTCTGTGCTGTGTGCCACAGCCCTCTTCGGTTGTGAAAGCTGTCTTCCCTCTCTTCTCAGGCGCTGAGGCCTTCCCTCCACCCACCTCCATCCCCTTCAGAGACGAAGGTGTAGGCCCGTCCCTCTCCCCTCCTCACGCTGCTCTTGGCCCCGCCCTCTCCTCGCTTTGCTATTTGACGCGAGGCGTCGCCATCTTGGAGCCCCGCCCCCTACCGAACGCGGACTGCGCCTGCGCGCGCCGGGAAAGCGAGGAAGCGAGCGAGCGAGAGTGAGCCAGGCGGCCGCCGTCGCTGCTGCTGCTTCTCCCTCCCTCCCTCCGTCCGCCTCCTTCCTTCCTTCCTCCCCCCTCAGCCATGGCGGAGCCGCCACCGACCACCGCGACGCCGCCATCTCCAACGCCGCCATCAATAGCAACAGCAGCACCCGGCGGCGGCGGCTCGCAGCGCCTCCTCTTCACCCATGACTTGGTCTCCGGCAAGTACAGGGGCTCGGTGCGCTTCGGCCTGGTCCGCGTCATGCACGGCGAGGACTCCGACTCTGAGGAAGACGACGGCGGGGGAGGAGGAGGAGGGGGCGGAGGGGGAGGAGGACGAGGCCCAGCAACAGCAGGAGGAGGAGGAGGGGGCAGCTCGGCGGGCTCGGAGTCCGGGGGCCCCGGAGCAGGAGCAGGCGGGGAAGAAGGCCGCGGGAGCCCCCTCCGCCGCGGCTACGTGCGCGTCCAGTGGTACCCCGAGGGCATCAAGCAGCACGTCAAGGAGACCAAGGTAGGCCCCTCCCGAGTGGGCAAGGAGCGGGGAAAAGGGGATGCCGAGGCTGGAGCAGCAGCAGCAGGCCCTCTGTGGGCGTGGGCCTGGTGGGGGCTGCGTCAGGGGAGGAGGAAGAGGAAGGGCCGCCCTGAGGAACCTGAGGGAGGGTCTGGGGTCTTAAAGGAAAGTTGGCGAGGAAAGAGGGCGGTGGCAAGGAGGGAGAGCGAGGAGAAAGGACGGGGACATGGTCTCCCTCTGTGTGTGTGTATTGCTCCCACATATATACAGATATATATATATACACATACACACACATACAGATATATATACAGATATATACACACACAGTTACGACTGTGGAATGACCTGCGGAAGAGCTCCAACAGCTAAACAAACTCAACACCCATCCCTTCTGGCAGGCCTACCCAGTCAACTTGCTATCATGAGTTTTGATTTGCACTCTATTGCCACGACTGGCGGAGGTGGGTGAGCGATGGGGCCTCCTCAGTGGTGGCCCCTCGCCTGTGGAATTCTCTACCCAGCATTCGAACAGTAGTAGAGGCAGCAATTGAGAATGAGACACAATTTATGTGAATGACAATGGACTGACCTGGACTACAATTTCAAACCTGTGTGATTTAAACAATGTTTGAGTAATTTTATGTTCTAATTGCTTTTATTATTTATTACTGTTGTTGGCATTGAATGAATGCCTGTTGACAAACTTGAATTCGAAATGACTCCGGAACGGCCCAAGACGATGGAACGGATAAGGACTTGAATGAGAGGATATAGTTTTTAGCTTTTAATATTGTTATTATGCACTGTCTTATGTCTAATTGCACTATAATGGTTCTTTTGTTTATCAATGTATGTATTTTTATGGCATCGAATTGTGCCGATTGTGTACGCCGCTCTGAGTCGCCTCCAGGCTGATATGAGCGGGATAAAAATAATGCAAATTAAAAAAAAATTGTCAAGCCGCCCTGAGCCTCCCTCCGGGGGTGAGAAGGGCAGGATACAAATATGCAAAATAAATATATGTCAATTTTGTAGCAGTGTTTGGTATAAGTTTTCAAATGTCTGTGCTTGGCAATGCAATTTAGTAATTTATTGTATTTTTATTTACTTCACTTGTATTCCGCTTTTCTCACTTGGGGGTGTGTGTGCTCAAAGCTGTTTCCAACATGTGTTGTTGAAAGCTTGCATGGCCGGAATCACTGGGTTGCTGTGAGTTTTTCGGGCTATATGGCCATGTTCCAGAAACATTCTCTTCTGACATTTCACCCACATCTATGGCACGCATCCTCAGAGGTTGTGACCTCTCAACCTCTGAGGATGCCTGCCATAGATATGGGTGAAATGTCAGGAGAGAATGCTTCTGGAACATGGCCATACAGCCCGGAAAACTTATAGCAACCCGGTTTCCAACATATTTCTGACAAAACATAATGCCTCGCATACATATGAAACCTAACATAAAGCGAGAATAATATAACTATCAATTAGATCATACAAACCTAACAACATTTAAACAGTAAAACATAGAATTAAAACATATTAATATAAATGGTAAAATCACATAATCCAGAAATAATGGTCCAAGGCCATGTATTTTTATGTTTGTTTGTTTTTTAATTAGTTGTACCCCTCCTTGAGCCATCAGGGGAGGCAGATAATGAATAAAATGTATTACTATTATTATGCACACAATCTCACACACATTGATATAGATATACATATACACACATAGGTTCTCTCTCACACATACACATATATACACAAAAACATATATACATTTGCACATATATAGATACACATCCATCCTCTCATACGTACCCTATACACACACCCACACACATATATATACATACTCTCACACAAATAAATATTGCTAAAGATATATACTTTCTCTCTTACATACAGATATATACACACCCACACATACACTGAGTGTGCCAAAAGTCACAAAGGGGTTTCAATATTTAATAATTCCTTTGTGCTTTGTTTTTAATTTACAATGTTCACAAAAGCATATATAGAATATATAGGAAATGAAATTGAATTACATTATATGTAAAATCTTTTCAAACAAAAATTTCAAAGAATTATTGAAACATTAGATGCCTTTGTGAGTTTTGGCCCACTCTTTGTATGCACATTTATATATTTACATACATGCACTCAAACATACGTATGCACACATAGATAAGCACACATGTGTACATATATATACTGCATATACACTCACGTGTATAGCTCACACATGCATATATGCATACATACAGTCCTTCAAGAATGCTACTATTGATTGGTATTATAAATACTGTATTATCTCAGGCCAGTGTGCTCTGAAAAAGCTGCTTTACATTGTCCACATTGCATTGTACAGGTTGTACAGTTTTCTATTTTGGAAAAAAAAATCATATTTTTTTTCTCTCTCTCTCTCCCTGTCCCCCAAATAGGTTACATTCTGTGCTCCCCCTTCTCCCACCATAATATTCTAGAAGACTTCTTTCACCATTTTAAAAAATATGTTGTTAGGCAACATGCTTCTATTCAGCATCCTGAATGCTCTAGGCCTTCCCTGCAATCTGTGTTTTGCGGGTTGTTCAGGTAGTCAGGAGTTTGGACGTGGTCTCTCAGACTCTTCTGCAGTGACATCTGCTGATTGGTATTGCTGTTCTGCAGAAGTTCATATTTTTTTACTGCATGGTTTCAGATATGGATGGGGATGGAACTTATTTAAGAGGGGAAAAACACCACTGGAGACCATTATTTTTAGCAAATGTTTGGATAACTATAAATACTTGTGATGCCTCAATGTATTTATTGAGAATATTAATATTCTTGGAAGTGAACTATATTATGGCATAGGGGGAGTTTGTTGTTAGTTGCCACTATAGTAGTAAGTAGTTGGTAGTGTAGGAGAAGCAAATGTAGCAAGCCTTCTAAAATGAAGGTATTAATGGTTAAATACTGTTGGTTGGAGCAAAAAAAAAAAAACAGGTTACTGTTTGGGTAGGAGGGAAAACATTGTCTTTGCTCCAGTATGCATAATTGATGTTATATAATTATGCATAATTAAAAACTGAAGGGCGTATTTATATCATGAGACACAAGTTGACATGAATTGCTTAAAAAAATAACAGTGTACATGTCAAATAGCTAACTTGCATCTCATTTGAAATATTGAGAGTGATACTAATATTCTGTGAACCCTATGTTAGGTTTTCAAATGTTATGGAGAAGAATGACTTACTCCAAATATGTAGAACAAAAGAGAGCGAGGGGTGGGCCCAGATGTAATATGAGAGGACCGATGCATTGTGTGTATCTTGAGAAGGAGCGGCATGGATATGCTGTGATAAGTGAAAGTATGTACTACTCATATTCTTATTAGCAGTCCTTGGCCTTGAAATCATGTGTATTTCTTTGAGAATAATGCGATGCATTCACTATGACCAGACACTTCTTTTCTGGCTGTGATTAAATCCATTAAGTTCATAGCAAAGAAATCAGCAATGACAATATTAAAAAAAGCCCTGGAACCCCCTAAAAAGATAGATATTCATAATTTTTCACATAGATTCTGAGAATATTTAAAATTTTGGATATAGGCTTTCTGTGACAAAGCTTGGTCTGTATGAATTCTAAATTATTCCCAAGGGTCTTATTTTTACTCAGGCTTTTTGGTTTCATAGTGAGGCTAAAATTGTAAGATGTCACTTGGGGAAAACAGTAAACCTAATTATAGTGTGCTTTCAAGTCTTTTTGGTTGTTGTGTGCCTTCAAACTATTTCCAAGTTTGGCTCACCTTAGGATTTCCATATCATTGCATTTTCTTGTCAAGATTTGTTCAGCTGACATTTGTCTTTGTCTTCCTCTGAAGTTGAGAGGCTATGCAAATTTTGTACTCTGTCTGGGCATTGTATCTTTTTACCCTGTTTCCCCTTCCCTTCAGCTTCCTCACCCATATTGTGCTTCAGTAGTTATATTTATATTTTTAATGTACCAAACATACCAAGTTTGTATGAAAATGTGACTATTTCCTGTGCTGGTCAATGACCGAAATAAATGATTTGATTTGATTTGAGAGGCTATGACTTACCCAAGGTCACTCAGTAGATTTCTGTGTCCTAATGGAGATTTCAACCTTGGTCTGCAGAGTCCTAGTCCAACACTCAAATTACTACAGTGTGATAGCTCTTAACTTTCTTTAGACAGGAGTAAATAAAAGTATAAACCATCTATTTCATAGGCATGGATTCAGATCTGTACTCTTTTAAGAATTCAACAAGATGGCCAAATATTAGCTTGAATAACCCCATAGAGACATAGAGTTGGAAGAGACCACATGGGCCATTTAGTCCAACCCCCTGCCATGCAGGAAAAGCACAGAGTACCCCTGATAGATGGCCATCCAAGGCAGGAGCTTCCACCACACTCCATATGCTTACTCTTGCAAAGGTGAGAGTGGTGGCCATAAATGTCACCCTGAGTATTTCCCCTTTTGTGCATGTGGCCCGCCAGGTGTTTTGGATGTCAGTTCCCAGAATTCCTGACCATTGAACAAGTTGACTTGGGCTCCTGGGAGTTCTCATTTAATAAGAAACAATTCTCACTAGTGCTTTATTAAGTGAGTGTGCTTGAAATTTTATGCAAAATTTGATGCGCATTAAAATGCAAGGGAAACTCAACATCTTACCTTTCATTGCTTCTAAACATCTAGTTTTTTGGATTTCATGTCTATGTCACAGGAAATGATTTTACTCTTGCACCTCCAGCCAAGTTTAAACTGCTGTATGTAGGCCAGGTAACTTTATAACCACTGTTGCCTCTTTCTTTTCTTCTTCCTCTTCTGGGAATTAGGTGATGCAGTATAGGAACGCATGCCTGAAACAGTGAACATAGTGTGTCCTCCCTATCTTCTGAGATAGAATTCCAGCCTCTTCCCCTCCCCTCCCCCTTTCCATGGATACTAAAATCTATGGATGCTCAAGTGATGTAGTAAAATA